TATAGATGCTTTCAAAGTATTACACTGCTTTCTGCCTGATTAACAATAACTAATGATGGACACGTACACCACTTCTATATAAAAAGATGGTGGTAACCCTTATTTGTAGTTTAATTTGTGATATTATCGGTACTGCTTTCTTGAGATAGCATCACTTACTATGTTTTCTTTCCCGTGTTTGAATAGTATTGCGAAAAATCGAGTAAGTCAAACCATTAGAATTGTTAGTTTGGCTTAATAACCACGTTACTTATGCCTTGCAGTCAGTGGTCATTGTGAATCTCTTTCTTACCATTAATTATAAATATTATGTAGAATAGTTGGCCACAATGGAAATTGGTTTTTACGGTGACCGATAGCGTCCAATTTAAAGCCGCGAGAAATTTTACCGTCAGTTTATAAAATGTCGCGGGCAACTTTAAAATCCGCGAGATTTTATGTCGAAATTATATAAAATGTCACGTCTTATAGAAACTCTCGAGTTTTTCTGTCACACATTTGTCATAAAATGTCGAGTTTTACGAAGGAAACTGCGACATTTTCTGTCTACATAAGTAGACTAAGCCACGCAATCTTATGCCTATACTTTAGGTAGCCGGTTGCGGCCGTTATAAGCCGCGATGTTTTGTTTTGATGCATACCTTGTAAAAAGTCGAGCTTGAGCATTCAAAAGTCGCGGATTTCTTATAAAAAGTCACGGGTAAAATATCTGCCACTTTTTAGCAGCCACTATTTATGGAAAATTAAGTCGTTCAGGAACAAGAAGTCGCGGCCTATAATTTTTCCCCTCGATTTTTTTGTAGAATTTCTACAACACTTGCAAAAATGTCGCGGATTTATTTCTGTTTCTCCACTTTTTATGGACAAACCAGGGATAATATGTAGTCAAACCATGGACGCTACCGGCCACTGAATTCAAAATGTTCCTTGCTGTTTCCAACAACTGTTATAAAATATCAATGTTAATATGTTCCCCGCGGCATTTTGTACGATTTCGGCGGAAAATCTCGCGGATTTGTAAGTTGCCCCCGACATTTTATGATAAAACGATAGAAAATGTGTGTGAAATGGCCGAAACCGGCTACCATAGGTTTTAGCTTATCGCCTTGATTTGGCTAAGTGACGAACAATACATACTACTAAGCTTTTCAATAGCATATGTATCTTATAATTTTTTAATATTTTTTCTTTCTTATCTTTTTGTTGTTGTTTTCCCCATTTCCATGTACTTGGGTAAGGTCATTTGTTTGTACGACTACTTCCGTCAGTGACTGGCATATATTACAAAAACAGCAGTCTCACAAATTCCTAAACATACAAGTGTGACTTTTCAGTATCGGTCAGTTCTGCGTAACTAAAAGCAATGTTTAAAGGATCATAAATCTCTTAGCTCGATTCCACACATGTATATGTGTATCAGTAATAAAACAGAGGAAAACAAAATCATTAAAGAACGCCCAAAGCGGCAAAATTAAAAATGCTGTAGGCTGGATAATTGAGCCGCGTCACGACAAAACCAACATAATGGGTTTGCGACCTGCATGGATCCAGACCAGCCTGCGCATCCGCACAGTCTGATCAGGATCCATGCTGTTCGCTGACAAATCGTATAACAAGTAGGGAAACTGACAGCGAACAGCATGGATCCTGATCAGACTGCACGGATGCGCAGGCTGGTCTGGATCCATGCTGGTCGCAAACCCATTATGTAAATGTAAATGTAATGGTAATATTTATTTATTTTCTCATAGCATGCATTAAAATCACTTCCTATGTTGTCTGTTAAGGATTTACTTAAAAATAGTCCTCAATTATGACATGTTTTTGCACGTTTTATGTTAATTCGTGTATTAAACAGTGTTCAGTACATCTACATGTATTTAAAACGTATTTGATTTATACATGCATCTATATACAAATGTTCTGATCATAATATTTTGTGGCGGTTTTATAACGGCAAATAAAATGTTTGACTCGACAAATTATTTCTTTATATTCAAGGTAATGTCCAGCTAAGATGAGAGGAAATTTTGTTAAAATTTATATACACTACCACCATACGCTGGTACCCTCCACTCTCGAGGTAAGAGGTCACTGGCACTCCCCATTTCTTAATTGGCATTACAGTCCCAAGATTTCCAGTTTTCCCCAAAAATTTCCTATCTCTGCCTCAGTGATTAATTTTCATTTTCTTTTTGAGAAGTGGCAAAATAATGTTTAGTAATATTGATAATGGGTTCAAAGCATTATTGATCCTTATCATTCAATTTGATAGAAATAGAGCTGAAAGTGAAAGAAATGTAATAATTCTGGAAAAATTGGTGCTAGAGAAGAAAAAAACATTGTCACATAATTATGATGTAGTTGATGATAAGGAATACATATTTGAAGATTAAAGTCAATATCCCTTAATATGAAATAAAGACGTGAGATTTAAAAAATAACACTATTTTAACAAAAATTGTATGTTCAAGGGGGTATAATTTTGAAAATAGTGGTTTTAGAGTTTTAAGGAATATTTATTTTAAATCCATGTTACAGTTATACGCCTTGTAGAGTGTCCTATTATGCTCTCAAAGAAGTGTATAAAAATTTCAACTTGTTTCAAAGCCAGATGTTAATGGAATATGAAAATATCTTCGGTGGTATGCAAACTTTAATGTAAATTAAAAGTTGAAAAAGGGGCATAATTCTGTCAAAATGCTTGAAAGAGCTACCTTCTCCTGTCTAGAGGCTGGGGTCATGATTATGAACAAATGTGCAAAGTTTCAAAGCCATATGTCAATGGACTTTGAAAATATTTTAGGTGTTACAAAAACTTTAACACAAGTGGTTACGCCGGGTGACTAGGATATAGCTCTACTTACTCTTATCGAATATAGTCGAGCTAAAAATGTCACTTACCTGGTCATTTATTTAAGAGTCTTGCACTTTGCAGTAAACAATTATCATATGTAAACAGACGAGGGGTGGGGGTCAACATGAGTGACACTTAACTATGGAACTTAATTTTTTTAGAAGATGATTATCACTTATAAAGGTATTTTCCAACATAAAATTCATTTAGTGGCTAAAATTTATCTTGTGATATAAAATATATTTACAAATTTTTGCTAAGATTTACAATTCAATTGGGCCGCAGACCCATTCACAGAAGAATGGATGTATCTGTAACGCTGCGTCTACACCTATCCAAGTCTTGGATGCAAGTATCATATTCTCTTGAATTGGATAGTGTAGACACCCTACTTGAATGGTTTTTAACGAGAAATTATGTGACATCCATGAAGATAATTTCTTGCAAGAAAGTTAGAACACGTTCTATTTTTCTACAAGTTTTTGGCTGTCAAGACACTGATAACACCGGTTTGACACAAAACATGTGCCCGAAGGTTTGATAGTGCTGTTATTTTTATTATTTTCTGACTTTTTGTTGTTGATTCAGTGTACATGCCCTTTGAATTTCAGTAAATGATTACAATGTCTTGGTCAAAGGAACAAATCAATACGCTGATACACAGAAGAGCAAAAATAAATAAATAAATAAATAAAAATAAATACATTGTAAAAAAATAAAAAAGAGCTATTTTTCAAGTAGAGTCAAAATTGATTTAAAATGATCTTGTTCATTTAGTGAATAACTTTCATCATATAAAGAATTTGCATCAAAATAAATTTTTGTCACATTTTTTCAATTTAAAAAAGAATGAACGCATTACTCCATTCTGTAAATGAAATACTACATCTACAGAAATTTGATCCTTCAAAGTTAGAGCCATTAGATAAGAATACAGAGAGCCAATTGATAATGACAAAACTCTCAACTCAGTGGACGTGTTAATGGGAGACATACAATTAATAGTGATTTACTAGCTGATAAGCCCTTACTGAGATTCAGCAGGCTGGAAGGGTTAATGCGTAGGACTGATTTATGCTGTCTATTACTGTGTTTTGAACAGGGTCAATTTGAGTTTTTGTCGGGTTAACAGGATCGTTTGTTAGAGCTAATTTCACATAAATCATGTAATCTATAATTTATGGTCTGCCAAGCTGGATGTTGATGATGAGTCTATTGTTGCCTTGGGTGTACGCATGGTGTTCAAATGTTCATTATTATCAATAATAATAATACCATGGCGATTTATAGCAGTTAGCCTCCAGATTCATACTAATTTTCATGAAAATATTGAGAGTATGCTTAAAATTAAATATTGTGAAGTGAACAACGAAAGTAATTAACTCATTTCAAATGGCACTTAAAATCCACGCACGTTATTATTCTTTTTTAAAAAAAAAGCAAAAAAAAGAAGCTCAAAATAATTATGCCACATTAGCTCTTCGGACAAGTTAAGAATAAAAATTCTGTACTGATTCCATTTTTATCATATAATATATATGCACGACCGTGCAATACCATATTTACGGAGTCGCAAAAGCGGCACGGGTATGTGATGTATTAGACTAATGCACATCTATGATTGATTTTTCTGATTTTGCGTACGTCTGACGAACAAGTCGGACTAGAAACATTTTTTGAATAAAAGTTGTAATTATTGTAATTGTTATTATCATGTTGTAGATAATTTTTATCTCTTCGCTAGCCTACTGTCAAACCTGTGTTAAAAGCCAACTCTGAATAAAGATGCCATTGCAAATAAAGGTCACCTTTAAATAATCATTCATTGATGAAATTGAATAAAGTTACCTCCAAATAAAGACCAATTGTCTATAAAGACATGTCTCGCCCTTTGGTTGCATCTGTTCACAAGTTCACAGGTTTTGACTGTATACATTACATTAATTCATTAATTCTTTAATTCATTCATTTATTCATTCATTCATTCATTCATTTCATTTTTCTTTTCATGTTTTCAATAATTAAGGTTTGGGGAACAACCAAGCAAGATAAACGCTTTTAAAGCGTACAAGTATTTATATAGTGGTAGCGCACTCCAATTTGGTTTCCGCTGACCTATAACGACAATCAATAATTTACTATCACACCGGTTGCTTTTACGATAGCTTCACTGGCGACAAAGTAAACAAAGTTGCTAAGGCCAAAATTGAGCTGTTTAAATTAAAATAGTGCACTCGATTACTTTCTGTTGAATTTAGGAATTGTATGCATGACAATTTTATTAGATATAACGGGTTTAAATAAGCTATTTATTAGAAATGGGCGGACGAGGAAGGAAAGAAATCTGCCAGTCCGAAAACCGACATCCCCAACAGGTGTGCAGAAGAGAAACCTCCATCACCAGAACAACAAGAAGGTGGTGGTGATACGCAAACAGAATCCAAGAGTCCAGTTCAAGCTAACAGGCGAAGGTTCAAAACCATCAAGTCCTACCGAAGATAATAAAGCAGACGACGCTGGACGCAAATCAAAGAGCCCAGAACCAGAAGAAGAAAATTCCAGCAGACCATCAACAAGAGGCAGTACCAGATGATGCTGGTAGAAAATCAAAAAGTCCTGTACAAAAAGAACCATCTACTGAAGGTGATTCTAATGAAAATGCAGGTGGAGATGATGAACAAACAGAAAAAGTAGAAACTGAAGAAACAGGTAAATATAAATAATTTTGGCTATATCCTGGATTAGACCCCGGGGTCTAAACCAGGAGTATATATAAGGTTCATTCCGTTTTTTCTAGTGAATTATATTCAAGTTTTATTCCTGAAAAATACATAGGGGTTTAATCCAGGAGATTGCCCTAGTTTGATACACTATATTTCCTTATGATCCGAGCGTTCTATGATAAAGAAATTTTGCAGATACATTAAATTTACTTTGATGTAGAAAAATATACAACTGTTTTCTTTATTAACGGACAATTGTTGAGACTTTCTAACATACACAGTAAGGGTGTTGACTCTAGGACTGAATTTGGAATTTACTCATTGAAATCTGTTGAAAGATAATTTTTTTAAAATTCGGGGTACATAACTGTTGGTAATCATTCAAAATGGGCCAAAGAACCCTGCCTATATAATTCTGATTGTTACCATTCATTAGAAAAATTGCATTACATTCAAATATGTTTAGCTAGCAGAGTGTAAAAGGATTGAATTGAATGGCATTTTTTTATTGGATGTATGAAAATAGGTCAGTTTAGTTACAAATGATTTTAACACAGAAGAGTTACCTATATGCAATAAAACTTGAATAAGTTTAAAAGCAATAATCTAGAAACCAGTATTTAATAAATAAAGGTTCAGAACCATTTAAAAAAGGTAATGTGCTATTGCTAGTCTTCACAGGCATATTAATCAAAAGAAGTAATCTTGAAATCATTTTAAGCTCCAGAACAAACTATGGAACAAGATACAACAGGTGGTGATGATCAAGTTCCAGAGACACAACCAGATGAACAACCACAACAAGAAGAACAAGAACAAGAAGAGCCAAATGAACAAGACAAAGAACCTGAAGCTGAGACCACAGAACAACAGGCAACAGAAGGTATGGTGTTGAAAATTCAGTTAACATTTGTAATAGTTTTGAATGACACTTGTTTGTGTCTGATGCCAACTGTGAATCAATATATATAATATTTTTAACTCAATAACTTTTGGTAAGGGAAACAGTGAGAATTTTTCATCTCTAATAAGTTTAAACAAATTATAAAAAAAGTTATTGGAGGAAATTTAATGAAATTGAATTTTCTTCAAGTGATGTGGAATAATGTAGCTTTAATTGATTATTTGTCAAACATTTAGATAGTTATCGTGAAAAGCATTTAATATTGAAGCTGTATCAATATTCCCTATTTTCTTTACCAGAGGAAGCTCAAGCCAGGACCTCCATCTGCTGCCAGTCAAAAGAGCAAGCCAGAGTCTCCAAAACCTGCCCCCGAGGAGCCTCAGGTGGCTGAGATACCAGAAGCCCCACAGATTCCCTCACCAGAGAGACCAGAATCTGTCTTGAAGGCACAATGTCTAATACAGCTCTGGTATGTTGTTTCTGTCTTATTTGATTATCAAAAGGGTATCCAAAAAATTGGGTGTTTTGTTGAAAATTTTTAGCAAAACTGTCCCCATTCCTATTAAGATTATACTTTAAATTTATGCTCCATAGCTTTTGCTGGGAAGGATAGAGTAACAGAGAAACAACAAAAAGTGTTGATTTTGTGAATACATTGCAAAGGTGTTCCTTATAGCAATCATTTTTTAAGACAAAAGTTATGTATACAAAATGAAACATGATATGCTTTTATAAAGACACTCATCAAATCATTTACATTCTACAAATAAATTACCCGTATTAATCATGGAATGCACTGGTCGATATTCAGTTAATATATATCTTAAAAATGTCCCTAAAATGATAAATGCTTGTGTCCAGATCGAAAGATAGACAATTCCATTTAAGATTTTCAGTTGGCCAAAGGTTAAAATGGAAATTATCGATATGTTATACAATATAATTATTTTCCTACTTTTATTTACTACACAAAAGGACAGAGCTAATAGATGTAGCTGAACTTTTTATAGTAAACGTACTGTATATTTTGGTAAACAAGAATGTATACACATGTGCTTAATTAAAACAATTTTCCATTTACAGAACATAATTTGGTCATTTGGATTGAATCGTAATGTGCCTGTGTTAAATTTGACCGACAATACGAGGAAAGTTATAATGTATTCATGTGCCCATGTTGGTATTTTGTACGACTTCAACAGTAATAGACAGCATATCCTTCAAGGACATGTAAGTAAATTCAATAATTGGATAGGACTTCAGTAGTTTTGCCCATGAAATTGCCAGTTCTAATTAGAGCTGTCATCGATAGAGACGATATTGATGTACTGTTGAAAAAATTGGTAGCCCGATTTGCAACGTTTTTCAAGTTTTGGTCATTTTTTCACAATAAAAATAATTATTCTGGAAAAACAGAGTAAGAAAATGATCTGGAATTTCCACACAAGTTATTAGTCTAGATCTGCATTGAATGAGACATTAATGTGGAAAAATTATTTCCAGTCCTGTCATCTCAAAAAACCTCAGTGAAGTCCCTTTATCATTGGTGTAAATCGCCAGTTGATTAGTAATAATAACATTATTATTGTTCTACAGAAGGTCTTTTGCAGAGATTTCAGTGTAGACTTTACACATTACTATGTGTGTTTAATGTCCAAAAACATTTTCATTGAAGGAACGTGTGCAGCTCATGAACATTTACAAAACATGTAACATGATTTTTCATTTTTATTAAAAGATTGTTCTTTTGTTTCTTAATTATTTTTTTTCAGATTAATTGATATTTTTAGTTTATTTCTTTTTTTCATTATGTGTAATTATTATTATTTTTTATAATTTTTACAGTCAAATCCTATCACATGTACATGTGTGAGTGAAGATAAGAGATGGTTAGTGACTGGAGACAAAGGGAAAGACAGTATGGTGATTGTCTGGGATACATATACTGGGTAACCTAATCTTCAATTACTTATTTCTGTTAATCTATAGTCATTTCTATAAACAACAGCTCTAACCAGTTTCTCTATTCTTTGTATAATGAATATGTTGTCTTGAATTATTTCTTTAATTACTATCACTGTTTTGTTCGCACATCTAAGCTTAGATAGATATTGTTTAATTAAAATTTTAATTACTTTTTCTAGGGTTCCAATCCAGACAATATTTGATACAACAGGAAATGAAGAAGGGGGGTGTTGTTGCTGTAGGGATGACACCAGATGCTAGATATCTCGCCACTTTGAGTGCAGCAAAAACACAGGTGAGAGTCCAAGTGTTAAGGATTTTTTTATGTTTTCTTATTCTGAAAAATCATAAATTATTCGTGGGGCACGAATTTTCGTGGTTTTCACGGGCAGGTCAAACCACGAATTTAAGATCCGACGAAATTTAGCTCAACAAATACTTCTTGCCATGTCTCTATTCTATATATTACAAACATGCATCGGCACTTTTCAGCTGATTTTTTGTGTAATGAATGCCCAGAGGCAAGGATTAAATTTATTGACAAGCGCTGTGTGATACATAGAATATTTACATATGGTAAGTAAAATACGCGGCGATTAAGTGTAAGATTACTTTGTATTAGGTTATTTTTTTTATTTTTTTTACGAGAATTTGAAAATCCACAAATTTAAGAACCCACGAAATGCCTGTTTTGATAGAACCACGAAATTTCATGCCACACGAATATTAGTGAATTTGCAGTAATAGATAATTTTGTTTACAAGATTACATACACATTTAGAAATTAATTATAAGATTACATACAAAATACATGTAGAAATTAATAATAATTATTTGTAATATAAACTTTCAGGTGTTGTCAATTTGGGAGTGGACAGTCGACGGGGAGACACCATTATGCTCTGCACAGCTGAAACCTTCATACGGAATACAGAATTTTATTTCTCTTTAATCCAGAAGATATCCATTACCTGGTGACAAACAGTGGACTCACAAGTCATCTTCTTTAACTGGGTAACTAAATGCATAATCATTTTTATTGACTAGGAATTTTTTAAGTAATACTTTCAGGCTTTTTTTAAGAATGGGTGTTTGCGTACTAGTAGTAAATTGCAAGTTTTATATCTTTGTTTGATAAATGATGTGGACTGGGTGGTACAGAAATATTTGAAAATATGAAATCTATAAATTGTGTTAAAAAAAATCCTCAAAATTTTCCTTCAACACAGATTTTTAATATGTAAATGAATGATTTACCGTAGAAGCTATACCATATTGATGTACATTTTTTGTAACATTTATTTCATTTAGAGAAAGAAACCAACAACAAACAAAAGTTTTATGGTATTATATTCATAGACATTGCTAGTAATATTGATATTGTAGTTGAAAAAGGCTGCGTGGATATATAAGTACCAGCCAGAATTAGCAATGAAAAAAAAAAAAAAAGAAGATGGGATGACCCAAAACATGTTGCTGGAATTTTACACTAGATTCTACTTGGTCATAAAGGGAGCCAGGGCTTTTATTTGTTCCAAATGAAGTCTTAGTATCAGTAACAATGTATTGATATATTTATTACAGAGTAATGGTCACATGGAATATTTTGCCTTACCCCTAACATACTGTATTTATATATTTATTACAGAGTAATGGTCACATGGAATATTTTGCCCTGCCCCTAACATACTGTATTTATATATTTATTACAAAGTAATGGTCACATTGAATATTTTGCCCCATTCCTAACAGCCCATTATTTATATATTATTACAGAGTAATGGTCACATGGAATATTTGCCCCACACCTAACATACTGTATTTATATATTTATTACAGAGTAATGGTCACATGGAATATTTTGCCCCCACCCCTAACAGACTTTATTTTATATATTTATTACAGAGTAATGGTCACAGGGAATTATTTTGCCCTGCCCCTTAAACATACTGTATTTATATATTTATTACAGAGTAAATGGTCACATGGAAAATATTTTGCCCCGCCCTTAAACAGACCAGGATTTTAACAAGCAGGTTGGTCCGATATAGCCAGTCCAATATTTCAGCGAAACAGTTCTGAGAGCCCTGACGGCTACATCAATCGGAAATCTTGTTGTCTGGGATAACAATAAGCCTGTTACAAAGGGTATGTCTGCATTTTGTTACTTATTCTACCAAAAAAAAACCAAAAGCAAACTTCTTCACAGTAATTGATTATAATTAAATGTACAATGTATGTAATATTTGATGAAACTTTTTTAGCATCAAAGGTCAGATGTCAGCATTTAACAGCAGAAACACGCTGTTTAGCGTTCTTTGGTAAGATTTAAGCGGCACTAGCACTGTTGAATCATAGCATATCTGGAAGAGAATGACTCCCTGTATCAGATTTATTTCAGACACAGACATGCCCCAGTGTATTAATACCATTCATTCAGATACAAAATATAGGCTTTTTCATTAGTCTGATTTTCTAATATTATGTAAGGAATAATCCTTAAATTCAAGATACTGTTGAAATCTGATAGATAGTGAACGTCTTTGCTGTCGAGATCTAAAGCTGAATTTTGAACTTCACCGGCCATGTACGCTGATCAAAGAAATCATAGGAATGATATGATTATGATGAATGGTTCAAGTTTTATTTGCATTTTTTTCTGTTAAGAAATGTTATTTAAAAGCGCTAAATCGAGTGAAATAATTATACTTGGTAAAAACCTTTTATAGAGCAAATCGAGGAGATATACATGAACGAAGGTATAATGCAAGTGAAGATTACTGATTTAAATGTGAATGTTTACTAACATTTTTTGTGGGTAGTTAGTTAAAAATGAGTAAATCTGTGAATGAGTATGGAATTTACATATTTATTAATTGTATGTGAATGGAAGAAAATTTAATTGTATAGCATACATGTTCTGGTTAATATTTCATTACGTAGATATGGTTTATGTTTACATGTTTAGATTTTGGCAAATAAATATAGGAGACATGATTTGCTTACAGTTGTACAATAAGGAAACATATTATTATTTTGTTTTTTGTTTTGTTATTTTGTTTGAAATGAGTTTTTATCATGTGGTTATGATGTGTAGCATTTAATGATGTGCTCTTTTAGACTCATAATGTACACATTACATGTATATAAAAATGTTAGTTTTGCAAAATGTTTCATCAGTTTTTTGATAAAGTCTATAATTTTTCATGTGATGTTATTTTTGTTGTTGTATGGTTAAAAATCTAACTTTTCATTATGCTTTAATAAAAATTACTTCTAAAAGCTTTTTCGTTTTTCTTTTCATTAATCAAATGCAGTAATATTTGATATAATAATTCTGTATTTTAATTGTAAGGAGTGATATTTCCGAGTATCATATTATTATTTGTAACTGTTTCTGGATTAACGTTATGGAGCCGTTCAGAATCAACTGTACAAGATATATGAGATTTTGGCAGTATGTTAGCTGGTGATATTTCTTCATGAAAAAAGGGCTAAAATTGGTTGATATTAAAATTTTTCCTAATGCTTTCACTTTTTAATTGCAAAACTGAATGTCTTATCATTCAATACATATAAAACCCGCATTTCACATATCATTTTCTGTTACATGATTTTCTATATTGCATATTTGATCTTTTTTACAGTTGTAAGTTCCGAGCCGTCGGCCAATAAAAAAGCTCTTAAAATTATACGATTACAAGAACGGGGAATCAGTGTGATTACTACAACTGATAAGTAAGTCTCTCTTATAATTTATATATGTAGGATCTGTATGCTTTCCTACAGAATTATGATAAGACCTGCCAAATTTGTGTAATAGATTTGCCCAGCTTTGAATTTGGAACAGTCCATTCCAGATTTAGGGATTTCAGTATCGAAATACAAAAATTGAGTTTACCAGCAGTATATAGGCCAGTCAGACGTCACAGTGGTAAAGGCTGCCCAAGTGGCTCTTTACTGGTGGCAAAAGCATCGTTATCACTTTCGGTCCAATAGATTCTCGTTGAACAAGACTAAGACAGGGTATCAGTAAAGATCGAAGAATGATGTAAAATTTCACTGAAAATCATGTGCTAATGATTGTCTTGAACTCGTACATGTTAACCACAGGTCTGTACGATTTAATGTTCAGCTTACAGTACAAAGCTCTCAGACAAAAAGAATTTTGTTATTTATCATACATAGTGTGTTAAATTCTGTTATAAGTATGTGTTGGTTCTTCAACTTGCTGTGAATCACACATAAAGGATATCTTTACTTATAGCAATAACAATGTTTTAAGTACTGTATTGTAATACCGGTAAGTAATGAAAGTACATGTATGCATTTGAATTTGGCAGGTATATTGTGGTTGGAGATGTTGCAGGACATGTTAAATTCTTTGATCAGAGTTTGAAACTTGTGCACTGGTAAGTCCTATTACATAAATTATTATCATGATGAAAATTGATGATGATGATGATGATGATGATGATTGAGTATGATGATTAAGGGGAATGATGATGATTAAGGATGATAATTAAAGCAGGTGATGATTAATGTGAATGATGATGACAGATGATTATGATTGAGGGTGATGAGTAAGAATGATATGATTAAGTTGAATGATGATTAAGGTGGAGAGGGGTGGGTGGTGATTATTATTATTATTAATTGGAAAGGGACATAATCTGCATTTGTGGCATTTTATTCTACAAAATCAATGTCATATTCATGTTTATAAAAACTTTCATTGTTAACAATGTTATTATATTGAAAATGTAACCTTGCCATGAATACCGAATTTCTATACTGATTAGTTTTTTTACTATATTTACAGGTATCAAGATTTGAACCTTGGACCTATAGCGTCAGTCTCATTTGCATTTAATCCAGAATTCCTGGGCATGTAAGTATTCTTAACATGATCTTTATCATGTATCATGTATTTGTTATGAAAGCCTAGCTAAAGTTCAGATATAAATCATATAATGATATTCATATAGTGCATAGTATTTTATTTGTATGAGAATAATAAAGTGTGCTGTCATAGAGACAGCTCTAGTTATGCTGGCTTTACCATCTACCCACTAGTAAATAGATGTAAAAATGGAGTTTAAATTGGATTTTAATCATCAAATACCTTGACCTTTTTGTTTATGTACATGATATTGTTTATGTTTTTATTTTATAGGGCCAGAGAAGGCACCAATTACCCTCCTGATGCCACCATACAAGCCAAACAATTTGTCATACGCGACTTTGTTGTCGGCAGCAGTATTGCTATTTTTGGAAATGTGACAGCAGATGGCACTAAGGTCAAGGTCATTCACAGAGAGCATGATGCTGCTATACATGCAATGGCTGCTCATCCCACGCAGTAAGTTTTATTTGAATGTTTTTCTAGCTACTGTAAATTCGCTTGATTTTGTGGGCATAAAATTTCATGTTTTTTTTTTGTCAAAAAAGGACATTTTCGTTGGTTTTTAAATCTTGGATTGTCTGATTTTTGGAAGTAAAATGCCATTAATGTTATATAAATACCTGTAATTGTGCAGCAGTCTTATTTTTAGAGACAGTTATATATGAATATTAATGAATATTAATTGTGCAGCAGGGGAAATGAAATTTTAGTGGATCGTAAATTTGTGGAAAATTCACCTATAAAATACCTATGAAATTCACAAAAATAAGTGCCCCAAAGATAATAAGGATTTTGCAGTATCCAAAAGTAAAGTATTGTATTCCTAGCTACTCTACAGGAAGCATTTAATACTTACTATGTTATTTATGTACATTATATCCCTAGCTACTTCACTGTATCTTACAACCTCTGTAGAGCAACCGCCTTTGTAATATTTTATATGCTGCTAAATTCTAAACAATTCAATTGACATTTTGTTCAAGAGTAGAATTTATGACAGGTTGGTTGATATTAACGCTAGAGGAAATTCTAGCATTTTTTTCATTTTGCCAAATTTGTTAATATTTGCGTGTTGTTAACCTTACCACTTATAAACTTAGAAATAAATCAAGTTTTGCCTAAAGAAAATTTTCTTAATTGCTTTCAGGCCTCTGGTGGTAATAGGCAGCTATTCTGGCCTAATCAAAGTGTGGAATTATGAAAAGAAGTAAGTAGTTTGTTTTGATTATATTCACGTAGTACAATACATTTGTTGTTTGATCTTAAAGGACTTTGTGGTATCAGACACCACATAGTTGGTGTTTAATTTGACACAGCCTATAATCAAATCTGTGACGAATCTTGTTTCAAGGTCATGCCAACGTACGAGACTAAAATGGTGCTGATCTGTCATTTCCTCAGTGCCAGGCGTTCTAAGAAATATATTGCCAACTAACTCCACTTTTCGGGGTCTGTTCTTGAAAGAGTGTACTACCTGATTGGATTGACCTTCATTAAGCATGAAATACTAAATTCATATTCTAATGGTGACATGCTTTGTTAGTAATTTTGATGTCAAGAATGATTTATAACACAAAAAAATTCATGTTTTGATTTTTTTTTTCAACATCTGCATATACTTTGTTCTTCCTTACAATGAAATCGTAGTTCCATGTCACAAATTTCAGCGAGGTTACTTTCACACACTTAAAATCCATTCATTTTGCTAAAAAACTTGTCATATAGGTAGTTTTATAATGAAATGTAAAAGTTATTTGGATGTATGTATTTTGTAGACAAGTGGTTGTTTCAAGGGCATTTCCGAGGGGAAATCTCATCCGCTGTTGCAACTATTCACCAAATGGAGCATATCTTGGTATGTCTGTTATTTCATGATACACCAGCCTGTTAACCTGCTTGATTTAATTGTTTCAAGATAAGTCGGTGCAGTTACAATAACTGCTCAGTTGATGAATCATTTTGTGATTAATTTTGTTTATTTAAAGTTTATCAAAAATGGTTTATCATTTCTCCTTTTAGCTTACTTTAATGTTTTCATGTAAAACTTGTCCATTTCCTGTTCAATTGTTTCTTACAAAAAACCAGTCTAATTTACACAGCCTGTAAGAGTTCTGAGAATAAAATTTCCAGTCAGGTCAAAAACCTCAGTGGAGTCCCTTTAATTTTTCATGATTAACATGTCCATTTACTTCAAATTTTAGAAAATAATATTATTAAAAAAGAATCCTGTATTGTCCCGAATTTTTACTCTGATACATGTTACTATTTCAGCTGTTGGTTTTGTGAATGGCTCTGTACGAATTCTGGATTCAATCACATTACAAGATGAGGTGCAAGAACCGTTTAGATACGCTAGGGATGCAATCACGCATATAGAGTTCTCGCATGACTCAAAATATCTCGCTACAGCTGTAAGTACGCTGTGTTTACAACTAATATTTGTTTAAATTTTGTCACTTCCATATACATGTTGTTTTGTGTTGATAGAAACACACAAATGGTTAAGGTCGTTGACTTCAAACCACTTGCCCTTCACCGCTGTGGGTTCGAATCCTGACAGGGACTTTGGATTCTTTCACGTGAGGAAGCTATCCAGCTAGCTTACGGAACGTCGGTGGTTCTGAAATAATGCACAGAAGGGCACCTGAGGTCTTCCTCCACCAGTAAAGCTGGAACGTCGCGATATGACCTATACTGTGTCAATGTGACGTAAAACCCAAAACAAACAATCAAACAAACTCAAAGTATGTATGAAATAATGTAATACTTGTTGTATAAAAGTCTCTGCTTGAGATGGGAGAATCTATAGATTTCCTACTAGAAGTAAACAGCTTGAATCTCAAGACATTGTGTTTTAAAGAAAGATCAACAAAGATCTAAGATGATTTTGTTTCCTCAGAGAGTGTGTAGGACCTAAACCACTAAACCACGAATGCCCCTTTGTTTCTCTTCAAGTGTGGTCATAGGTAGCATGCAAGTATAGACAAAAAAAAGAATAATAAAAAAAATGTTCCAGACTATGAATTACATATCTGATTTTAAAAACATTATTACATATGTGTAATTACAGGATGCCGAGTACACAATGTCAGTGTATATGCGCTGCCATGGCATAGATGTAGAGCCGTACCAATACCTAGGTAGATACAGGGCACACTATAAACCAATCAAAGACATCATGTTTGGTATACAGCTTGATGCAGACTTTCCAAGATTATTGTCCCTTGGTGCCGATAGAGTTCTTGTAAGTAGTTCCCTGTTTCCATAGCGATGTCATAAAAGTGTAAGGTCAAATCTAATGTCACATTTTTAACTTGACTGTTGGAAGAATAGCTATCTCACTCTCTAGGCACCAGTGTTGGCATTGGTATAACACTTGGGATAAAGTTTTCCATTAGCGGCATGGGTTCAAACTCCATCAGGGGCAAGTCTTTGTTTCCTTGAGCAAGAAACGTTACACTTATTTTTCAGTACTGCTTGGTTCCAGGAACGCATTCGAAAGAGTGTCTGTAAGCTTATAGCTTCCTACACAATCAAACTAAAATAAAGTCTGTATGTAACTTTATTTCCCTTATAACTAGTCAGGTTACATGTTTTCACTTGAAACTTAACACATGTCATTAATGGTTATAAAAGACTCTTTTACACAGGCCCTTAATTATTTCTAGCATGAAAAACTGATATTTGATCGATTAAGAATAGATAAAATCTTTTGTAAAGATTTCTCATGAAACTTCTACCTTTATAATCACTGAAGTGTTACATGTTACTTGTATGTTTTGGTGTCATAACTTCCTTTATAAAGGTTATTTCCCAAAATGAATGGAACATGCGATACATTTTGAATTATTGATGTTGTAATATTGAGACAAATGTTTAATTCTGATAGGTGGAGTATGATCTAGAGAACAGTACAAAAGATGATTTACGTTTAGCCAGTACCGATCGTATAGAACAAAGTGCCGTACCACAGTGTATGACTTGGTATCCACCAATCACAAAAGAGCATTTTATCGTCACAGCCAATGACCAGGTATGAAAAACACTTTGTTATTTTTCTTAGTTTTAATTTATAGTTTTGAGCCGTACCCGAGTCATGATCATGTGCAATTATATCAGACACCAGTACTGGCTGGTCAGGTCTAAGAAGTGGACTTGAAAGTGTTTAATATAAGTTACTTGTTTTAAGCCTACTTATTTTACAATGAAATGAATTATGTTTAAACTTTATTTTTTTTACTAGGAATTTTGTGGGAAATGAATTAAAAGAAACCATCTCTAGATGTGATCTAGAACTAATTAGTTCTAACTAAAGTAATCATTTCTTATTCACTATGTATAAAGGTAAACGATAATATTTATAATTACTTAATGTATATGTAGTCCAAATTTTTTTTTTTTCCAGTTTAAATTTAAATTATATAATGCAACAACAAAGATGTGCAGGAAAACATTACTAGGGCCCACATATGGTTCTCCAATACAAAAGTAAGTGATTTATAGTTTCACAACTTGAGAAGAACAGTTTTTCTAAGTGTACAAATTAAGTGATTTATTTGTAAGCTCTCACATAACTCAGAAATTACTTAAAACTTGATCAAACTATGAAGAATTTTTTCTTACTCAGTATGTTTTGCATAACAAATTCAACGTTTTCAACCTGGATTACGAGTATTTATACAATTGTTTAACTGTAAGTTTATTTCCTTTAGTTTGACTTTTTTTTTTTGAAAATTTATTTTAACTCACATGGAGGCATGCCACTTTAAAGTTAACATAGATTTTTTTTTAAATTAGCTAAACAAAAAAAGGAAAAAAAGAAGAGAAATCTTAACAGAACCAAATTCTCAGCTAAGCCTTCTTCAATCTTTATCCTTATCCTTTTTCTTTATAGAATAGCTGTAGTTCCAACTAAAGATCCTGCTCATGATAAGAGGTATATGGCTTACATCACGGAGGATAAAGTCGGTATGCATATTTTACCGCTAGACGGCAACCCGCACGATGCCATGGCTCTGATTGGTCACCCGGCTGGGGTCGCCAACATGGTGTGCAGTTATGACGGGAAATACATCTTTACTGCTGGAGGTGCAGATGCTACAGTTCATATGTGGGAAATCAACATCAAGTAAGTAACTCAGGACCTGTGTGTCCCAGAATTTTGCTGTCTATTGTTGATCTTTTAGTCTCTTTCTTTACAATTTTTTTAAATTATTTTTAGGGGCCTGAATTTGATATATTTTTTTAATAAAGTAATAAAAGCAACTCTAAGGGGAGTGTCTAGTGTTTAACCTTTAACCTGCTGAATTTATGAAATGGACTAGCCCTGCTTTGAATTTGGAACAGTCCATTTGGAATTTGAGGGATTTCGTTAACAAAATGCAGAAAATGAGCTCCCTACAGAACAGAGCCTGGTCAGACTGCATGGATGTGCAGGCTGGCTTGGCTTTATACTGATCACTCTGACCACCTCCGTGGTCGAGGGGTTAGAGTCAATGACATCTTATCCAGTTACCTCTCTGACGTGGGTTCGATCCCTGGGAGATGCTTTGGTAGTTTAGCAAGGAGGAAGGTAGTCTAGTACTGGTGTAACTCTCCAGGAACGATGGTTAGGAAACTACCTGCCTATATGACTGATATACTGTTGGGCAAAGGCGTAAAAAAATGAATCAAACAAACAAACAAAACTTTTGGTTCCAGCAGGGTAAGGGTTAAGGTGTCTGCCTGTCATTACCTAGGAATGGTGGGTTTGAGCCTTTCTGGGGATACGGCCTTTGTTTCCTCATATGACACCAGTACTTATTTGTTTCAAGAATGAGACTCGAGAATAGTTTAAATTAACTTCAAGCAGTCATCAGAATTGAGCTGAAATACATATGTTTTAACTTAAGTAAAAGCATCTACATATGTTGTATTGAATGATTTTAATTGTATCATTAAGCAATGCCTCTGCACATAAAGTTTAGTAATAAATCATTCTTTTACTATTTTAAAATGATTATTAAAGGAATATATATAATTTTTAGTGCATTGGAGGCCCAGTCTGCTCTTGGAGGACAAGATCTGATACCATTCTATGGTCTTCTTGAAGGAGGTAGAGAAGGAGAGCTCTTCAAGGAATTAGAAGATTATTTTTACTATGCTCAGATAAGGAGGTAAATATTTTCGAGTTTGTACAAATTTTTTCTCTCCTCCTATTAAGGAAAGCATAATATTTATGTATTTATACCCCCAAAACCCTTCACCCACCCCCCCGGCACCTCCCTTTATATAGATGTAAATTTTTTTTTAAAAATCCGTAAATCTCTAGTTCAGGTGATATGCTAATACATGTTGATAGAATTATGTAACTACATTGGTTCCTAAATGTCATTACATTAGCTTCGCATCTGTCTCAGGGGGAGAAACAAGAATTATGTAACTGCATTGGTTTCTAAATTTCATTACATTAGCTGCGCATCTGTCTCAGGGTGAGAAAAATGTGTAACCTCGATGAGACTCGAACCTGGACCCTGGGTACAGCATTTGTCAGTTCTACCGGCTGAGCTATCCTATCATTTAAACACTTTTTCTCCCCTATTAGAAACCGTTCTTACCGTTATAAGTTTAGAATTTTCTTTTGTATTGTCTCCGCTTTGTGAGCTTTTAACGTAGCAGTTATTTAGAAAGATCAATTAAGGACTATGTTATATAGAACAGTCGACTCTCGTTATCTCGAAGTCATCAGGACCTTCAAAAAATATCGAGACAACGAAATGTCTAGATAAACATATTAGGGTTTGAATAAGGAAGAAACTGATTTTTTCAAAAGACATGTGCATACCGGATTTTGTCAAATAAACTATAGTATCCCCATATCTTGTTTTGATAAGCCCAGTCAATATTTAACAAAGTAACATAATCGAATGTTTACCATCGGAAATACGGGTGTCTGTGATAAAAACACATAGTGAGGTTTATTCAGTAATACACCAATATAGTGAAAACATTGTTTTCAGGGTGGTTGATCCGGATATCCTCCCGGGTTATTTATCGGGTCTTTCTCGAGATTGTTCGACCGCTGATTGATTTGGTGGTGATGTTGTGAAACAATATTGCAACGATAGCGTTTCTATACTTTCACTTTTTCATTTATATTTAAAGTCATAATGAATTGATACAATGTTCTAATATTTATAAGGAACGTAAAAGTAAATCAACACGCTAAAAAGATTAACTTTTATAAAAACAGCTCGACTTGTTACAAACATAATCATCATTATGACACTCGCTTTTGGGCAATTATCGTCTAGTTTGTGTTTTTCATACTTCTGAAGGGAACAGACGAAAGAAAACTATTAGTCGAGATAAACAAAAGATAAAAGTGTGAAAATAACTGTTTGGGCTGAAATTTTACATCGAGATACTGAAAATATCATAATAAAAATATCGAGATAAACAAATATTTCCAATAAAGATAGAGAAGGAAGAAAATCGGGACTTTCAAAATTTCATCGAGATAACGAAATATCGAGAAAAGCGATGTCGAGATAACGATAGTTGACTGTATATTAATCAGATTTGATAATTTTTATTTAAATTTTTTGACTGTGATCTGTCTGAAAAATAGAATACCTGTTAAAAATATCTTAATATCTATCTTAATTTCTCATGTAATGAAGTTTCAGCCAGGTACTTGTCATATTTCCAGACAGACATTTAAAAAAAAGATCATATTTTAGATAAACAAACATCAAATTTAATGTAAATTTGTGTCAGTACGAGGAAAATTAGAACAAGCAAATGTTTCTCTTTATCTATATAATTTCATTTTATAATGTAGATTTTCCATCCATAAGAATACTAAAGGATACGGCTTACTTTGTCAAAATTCATTGATGCCATGATAGATGTCATTTTTTTTAGACAATAGATGTCAGATGACACTTGTTGAGATTAAATTTCATAACTTCTTAAGTTTCAAATTCTTAGAGCAATTGAAAGAAGGAAATGTAAAAATTGCACTTTTTTGTGTACTGTATACTATGATAATAAATAAGATGTAATTTAGGTTGGTTCTTTTTACATAAGTGCTTTTTTTTATATAAAACTCCATTTTGTCCTTCCGATATTTTCTCACACTTACTTAAAATATCTAATAGTAACGTAATTCATTTATTGACAGATTATCTGTTGATATTTTGTCTGTTGGTATTGTACGAGAAAACTCCCTTGGTGAACATCACTGAAGCTAAAAATATATTTTCGTACCTTTTTCCACCATGTCAGGTCAGGCCATATATTAAGCTTCATAGAATCAACTTTAGGAAGGGTCTATTGGTGTTACCAATATACATATGCTCTAATATATTTAAATGATAAATTTCCGATTTTGCTAATTATAATATATGATTTATTTATAATTCAAAAAGACGACTGATAAATGAAAGGTTTGTGTAAAGCAGATATTGTTGTACTTTGTCACGCCAACTGAATAATTTCATATGCTTTAGATTTTGTAAATTGCACCACACAATTATTATATAACACGAATGCCCTGGTTGACCCTCAACATTCCCCGCTTTGACATCTGCTTGATTTTTATCCTTTAGATTATCTTCAAAATCTTTCTAATTTTTGGACATTTCAGTATGATATTATGAGTGAAGTTTTCAAAGTTTTAATGTATGTATATTTCCATTCTTGTGACATTCCTGTAGAATATAAGTTATATATGTCAATTTATGTAAAGACTTTTTAAGGATATTTATGATGTACAGTTTTTAATAATAAAATCACTAAAATGGTACGGCATTAATGCACCAGTGAATTGTAACCCTTTTCTTGCCCCAGCCCCTTGGAACTGTTGGGGATACAGGGGTAAATGATAGGCAATCTTTTTTTCTTTGATTATATTCTAGTGCTAACTCCCTGCTGTGGAGTATTTAGCGAGAATTTCATGTTCTATCTGTCAAAGCAGTGTAAGGCTTTCATTGAGGGTTTGACTATGAAAATGTCAATGTCCCAACAATTTCCAAAGTTATTGTGGGGATGGGGGCTATGTGTTGCGATTTCCTGATGCATTGATTCTAAAATTTTACATAAAAGATCATTTTCATTGAGATTTTTATCAAAGATAGTTTGATGAGTAAAGTTGAAAAGTTGTCAATCCTTTCTGAGGTAAAATTTAAAAGCATTCAGTTACAAATTTTTCTTTGGGTTCTACTCTGAGCTTAATTGAAAGCATTCAATTACAAATTTACCTTCTTTGGGTTCTACTCAATTGGCCCCTCTTGTCTGAAATAATGCATAAGGGGGTACCTGAGGTATTTAACAAACAAAATTACCCCCTGTACAATATGCAAGACGTAAGAATTATGTGAAATACAAAAAAAAAGTTGAGGAAAAAACAATAAAAAATAAAGGCACACAGAAGTTATAATTTATATTTAACATAGCCTACAATTAAAAGATCATTGTATTTATAATCATGTACATATAGAAGAAAAATTAATACCATAATTCAAAGAACATACTCGTACATTAGATGAATATATTATGTGTAAATTTGATGATAACATGAAATAATATTAACATCATGATAACAAAATAATATCGTAGATGCATGGTAATTATGTATAATAATCTAATATCTAGCTAAATATTTCATTGAATGACCATATAATACATTGAATTAGTTGTGACAAACGTTATAACATATTTTTATATTTTTAACTATACTAAATTAGAGACAATTCAGTCCATTCTGCCAAACAGTGATGTGTCAAAGTGCAATCAACCCAGTGTCAAAATGCATTGATCCTGGTGTCAGAATGCCCTCGAGGAAGTTTCAAAATGCCCTCAATCTGGTGTCTGAGATGTCTTTGATCCAAGCAATCTAGAGTCAGGATGCCCTTGATCCAAGTGATCCAGTGTCAAAATTTTGATCCAGTATAAGAATGCCTTTGATTCAACTTATCTGGTGTCAGAATGTTATTGATCCCGTGTCAGAAAGCCCTTCATTCCAAGTTATCAAGTGTCAGAATGCCATTGAACCAGTGGTAGAAGGTCTTTGATTTAATGTCAAAATGCTCTTAATCCCTAAATGCCAAAAATTGATCTTTTGTCTCAAGGGCATTTACTGATAATAATATTGTTTTTAAAAAAAACTTTGTTTCCCTTGAAACATAAATAACAAAATTTTAAAAAGATACATGAAGACTCTTGATTGAGTCCGAGTTGCATTTAATTTTGTGAAATATAAAATGCATGTACAATGCCAGTCCATGAAATCCTTGGTACTATGATACCAAATGAATTACCTCCCTTGAATGAAGTATTTTTTCCAAGTTTTGTTATTTCTTTCTATGAAGTTTAGGATTTTGAGTTTGAAGAAAATTTAAGAAGCATTAAAGGTGACAAGTGATATGGTATTAAGCATTAAATGTTTATAAATTGTTGTATTCACAACAACAATGGCACTTCGATCAAAATTTAAGTTTTTAATTAGCTTAGTCATTTCGAGTCCTTTCATATTTTACCTTATTCTTTTATCATATACATTTTTACAGTGAAATTGACAGGTTGGTTACATATTTTTGTGGTACAGAGAAATATTTTTGTTATTAGCATAACTAGAGAGATGACTATATTAATATTTTGTATGTTTTTCATGTCCATTAGCCATAGCTTTATCTGTAACTTCAGAAATATGCTATCTTATACAAAAGGCTGTAAATAATTTAGGCACAAATAATAGCATCTAATTAAAAAATTATGATCTGCATCCAAAGATTTGATTTTTTTTTTTGCAACCTTATTTTAGTTTATGACAAAATGCTATTAAATTGTTGTTGTTTTTAAATTTGATTGATGAATTTGAAGTAAAGCTATGGCTCATTTCAAACATGTATACAGTTTCATCTATTTATGTTTTTATATAAAACATTAATGAGCTCTTTGTAAAGCAAAAAAAATAAATAGAATGTGTTAGTTTAGCTTAGATTACAATATCGTAATTGGCTAGAAAGAGGTCGAGGACCAGTCACATCATTCATTGGTTAATTTCAAATTCAAGCTCATAGTTATCCAATCATATGTCAGCATTTTAGACTGGTGTCCAATTTCAAAATTTTCAACTCAGAAACTTAGAATAGCATTTTCTTGCATATTTTTGGAGGGGATTAGATATGAATTAAATTCAAATTAAAAAAATGGTTTAATTCAAGAAACATGGTAATTATACTCAAAAATATACAGTACTGAGTAGGATTATTCCCCTTCATTGTTTTCTTGCTTTACATTAAACATTGTAATACTTGTAAATAAAAAAAAATGTTACAGGATTCTTTATTAACAGGATATGTTTAACTTCAGAACTGTCAACATTTCTGTTCACATTATGTGTGCTTCTGTATATACATGTGTATTATATGTTTTGTACTGTTTGAGAGCTTCTTTTTCAGCTATTGAATCTATTTACTGAATTAATTTTACCACATTCCTGTGTTACTGTATGAAAATATTCAGAAATTATCTCCCTTTTTAGCTGGACTATTCGATAAGAATAAGTAGAGCTATTGTAGTCACCCGAGCGTCGGCGTCGGTGTCGGCGTCTGCGTCGGCGTAACCACTTATGTTAAAGTTTTTGTAATAGTTCAAATATTTTCAAAGTCCATTGACATATGGCTTTGAAACTTTGCACACTTGTTCACCATCATGACCCCAACCTGTAGACAGGAGGAGGTAACTCTATCAAGCATTTTGACAGAATTATGCCCCTTTTTCGACTTAGAATTTACGTTAAAGTTTTTGTAATAGTTCAAATATTTTCAAAGTCCATTGACATATGGCTTTGAAATTTTGCACACTTGTTCACCATCATGACCCCAACCTGTAGACAGGAGGAGGTAACTCTATCAAGCATTTTGACAAAATTATGCCCCTTATTCGACTTAGAATTTACGTTAAAGTTTTTGTAATAGTTCAAATATTTTCAAAGTCCATTGACATATGGCTTTGAAACTTTGCACACTTGTTCACCATCATGACCCCAACCTGTAAACAGGAGGAGGTAACTGTATCAAGCATTTTTTTTTACTATCAAGCACTAAGAATAGTCGAGCTTTGCTGTCCTACCGACAGCTCTTGTTCTGTTAAGAAATAGCATTGTATGTTGTTTGAAATAAAGCTAATTTTAATCATTTTAAAGCTCTTCTTTCCATTTTAAAAATATTCAAGCATTTTTTACCTTCACAATATTATACCTTTAATTTCTATAACTTAACTTTTAAATTTACCTGATCTTTGATTTACCTTAATATATAAAATGTATAGGAAAATTTGAACAAGAGACTTTAATTTTGGTAATTTGGGAAATTTTCATTGTTAATTCATGGGGTTTCAATTTTAAAATAGTAAATGTTATGCAAACAACAGAATTGTAGAGTCCTGGGGCAGAGATGTTTAAAAATCCAGGTTGGCATTGCAGAATATGTTATTGTATTATTAGAACACATGAAATGCATGGAATGTGGTACCATGTAACTTTATGTTTCATTTCAATTTGATTTTGTTGTATAGGATCTTTTGCTTACGTATAAATGTTTTAAGAGCTTTGTGAACTATTCTGTAAAAACTGCAAGCATTTTGTGACATGTATATAACACAAGCAGTTGACAGTCTTTATCATACTTGTAGCACCACTGTTTATCTTTATGATGTTTTTACTTAAATAATGCAAAAAAAATGTATTCGTTGTAAAAGCAGCACACCTCCATAGTCATTATTTTCATAAATTTTTGACATTTACCAGTGAATATTACATCATATTTAATAGCTCACTAGTCAATATTGTATAATATTCTTGTGTCATTTCATAAGGACTTAAATTTGACTTGTCTCATAAATGTTATAAAGCTTGCCAAAATTCCATGATCTATTTGGTATAACTGTAAATTTATATATTTTCGCAAGGCCAAAATTTTGCAAAAAATTAACATTTTAGACTTATTCAGGTTAGGTTATTTGTTAACATATCATTTCTTTTAGTTCTGTTAAATTTATTGAATAGGAACTTGGCTATTATCTATTTTTTTGCAAAAATCTTCAATTCGAAAAATTAGCAAAATTTAATCTCACAAAAGTTTCTGATTTTACATTATAAGCCTATATAAAAATTGACAGCTTGTGTAAAATTCTACACATTGTAGACCTAAATTAGTTTTATTTAACAAAAAAATGAAGAAAAAAAGCAGTATTTTTATTGCAAGTTAGTTCAAAAGGAAAAAGAACAACAAAAAGAAAAACAACAACAAAGGTTACGAGAAAATGGTGCTATTTAGTATGTTAGACTCCGATCAGCTGCTTCATATAATTATATTACTGACAAGATTCATATATCTGACAACTTCACTTTTTAATGAATAATTTTTTTTCTCATATATTCTCATTATAACATTTATATTGTAAATGTATTCAAACGTTAAAAAAATGTAAATTATGTACATTTCTTGTTAAATTTGCTAAACTCATTTTATTTAAGTACTATGCAGTATATATAATTTTCCACTATTAACTTCCCTTATGAAGTATTTTTATGTCTAAAGTCATTTGCATTTTACCATCTTTACATTATATGTACATGCAAGTATTTTATTTTATGGTGATACAATAGATGTTTTGCATTGAAAAAAAAAAAAAAAAAAAAAAAAAATAGAATCATTAACAAAGTTTTATCTTATCAGATTAAAAAAAAATTGTATGGCAATTGTTCTTGGTCTCGTTAACACTATTTCTCAGACTATTCATATTAATATTACAGTCAAGGTGTAAATGCCATGGACTCTCGGGAAGTCTCGACAAAGATTGTGCTGTCAGAGGTCCCGTTTGTAATGCGGGCAATGGGTTTCTACCCATCAGAACAAGAGGTTAGTATTTTAGTATATATCTCTATCCCTTAACCAGCTAAATTTATGTAAAGGATTTGCCCTGCTTTGAATTTGGAACAGTCCATTCAAAGTTTAAAGGGATTTCAATATTGAAATACACAAATTTAATTATCTAGTAAAGCGCCTTGTCAGACTGCACGAATATGCAGGCCGCCCTGGCTCTATTCTGTATTGGCAGAGGCTGATCACTTTTGGCTCCAGAAAGTAACAGGGTCATAGAACACACTACTGCCGGCTTTGTGATATTTAATGGATAATAGTCAAAGGCCGAGGTTTGTACATTGTTTGGGGTTTATTCTGTGATATTCCTTTGGCAAGTGGTGCATACTATTTCCCATATTATACTACACTTTAATTCAACATGAGCAGAAAGCATTTCTTTAGGGATTGATAATACTGCTGTACTGCATATCATATATCAGAATTTTCATTTTATGTTAAAGTATACTTACAAATGAAAAACTTTCAGCTGAGATAGAAACATGTTTTGATAGTCTTTTAGTATTTGTAAAATGTAACTCAGACCTCTGAATTTTATGTAAGTTCACAGTGTTGATGTGATCACAAACTTTATGGAATAAAAGAACATAGTGTCTTTAATTTTATACGCAAATATGATATAATGTTTGTTGGAATTTCAAATTTTTAGATTGAAGACATGCTAAATGAGGTGAAGTTTAGTCGCTATGTGGAAACGGGCCAATATGTGGAATCTATTGATCTTGGAGAATTCATCAAATGTAGGTGTCAACATTACTTTTATAAAATTTTATATCTGGTTATCTTCTAAACTCTTTATGATCAAAATGTTGCTTTTTTTAAAGCTTGATTATTTTATGTATTTATTATTGATGGTGGTGCTATTCTCTTACTGGTGTTAGCATAAAAATTTGACAAAGTTTTGTTTGCAAGTATTTTCTTGAAACTTGACAGTAATGGAAATATTTGTTTCCAAGATTGTTATACGGTTTGATGAAAGTATATACCAATAACCTGTGTGCAAAATTTCAGTCCATTAGCTCACTCCGATTTTCTTAAATAATAAAATTCTGTATTGTGCAAAATGACCTTAAATTTAAATGTTAAAAACCCTAATGTAACTCAAATCGAGCAAAGTAATGCACTAACTATTGATTAACAATTTAATTCTGAGAATATTTTCTTTATTATTATTTTCGTATTTTAGCCTTTCTAAATGCTTCACTGCAATACTGAAATATATTTATCAAATTTTACCTTTTTAGACTTCTGAACGTCAATGGAGATCCTTAAAAAATTAAATATTTTTTGTCCAATTTTTCAGTGTATATAAATCACAGACCAGCATTTGGCCTATCTCCGGAGAAATTACTGAAAGCATTTGAAACATTAGGAATGTACACTGATAAAGGTTCAGCCATCGATAGAGGCGATCTGTTGGAAATGCTACAAACTAAAGGTAAGATGAAATAATTATGATACATGTACATGTATTATGTATTTCCCTAAAAATGATAAATGGTTTTGTCTAGAATGAAAGATGGATTAGTCCATTTAAAACATTTAGTAAGGTAAGGGTACTGTATCTTTATATGCAGAGATAGACCTTAATCCAGTGATTATATAGTGAGTAGAAATATGATGTAGAAAAGTCAGTTATATTTAGCTCACAAATAAAGTGTCACTCCATGGAAGAATGAACTAATAATTGTGTACATTTATTTTTCTTAAAGGCACATTATGCTTCAGAAGCAAGTAAATGTTTACTTCTTTAGAAAGGACAAACAGGAATTTTATAATATTGAAATAAAAATAGTTTTAGAGAGTGTCAAATGCTCCTTACTTAAAAAAAGTATTGATAATTGTGAAATAATTTGTCATTAAAGGAGCAAAATGTAAACAAAGAAGTATTTTGACTTCAATACAAACAGTTCTTATTGCCAAAAAGCAACAGATTAAAAAGATGGTTATGGTAATTGGCCAATGAGTACATTTTTGGATACTATAAAAGTAAACCAAAATAAAATAAAAAATTTAAGAAAATAGAAGCATTTCAAGTTATAATGGGCCTTTAAGTATAATTTTTGAATTTCATGTTCAATTGTGGATACATGTTTTATAGCTTAAACTGACAGTTTTTCTTCGTTTTAATGATTATTAAACCCTGCATTATTTTATATTTATCTTCAGGGGAGCATATGACGGAGTACGAACTAGCCGAATATTTGATGACGTTGCTAGGTTACCATGCAGAGGGCGGTAGCAGCGAGCTCCAAGAGTTTGATACAAATATCGCAGGTGACGTGATCAGCGAAAGCCTTCCACAAGATATCACAGGAGAAATGTTCGCGAACGAAGTGCTCGGCTTTGCTATGTATCAAGAATCATCACAAAAAGCATAATTTTGAAATTTGTAAAACGAGCGATTACAATGCCGTGAACTGATTTATTGAATAAAAATGTATTTCAGCATACAATGTTGTTGAAAAATAAAACAAAATCTGGCATAGTTTGTGTGGATGTATGTGAAGTTCAAAATTGAAACATGTTAAAATGATATTATCACTAATGTTTTGTTCTTCAATCAATCATTAGTTTCCGTACTTTTATTCTAAAATATGATAATTTTGAAACAAAGAAAGAGTATTTTAAAGGCTTCAGGGTCAAAAAATGTAGGGTTATATTTTTGTGCTATACTGTACGGGGTGTAAAATTGATAGAAGTTATTTGATACAATTGATGTTTGATCTATGTTGTATAAGAGGGGTGTTAGGTCTTGGGTATTCTTTACATTGCAGTACAAAAATGCAACTTTTCCTTACCATAATAGTGTATTTTTGTGCAACAAATTAAGATCTCCCTTCTACCCTATAGATAAACTATTTGAGATTGTTAACCCGTTTTCCATATCAAGGCTGTAACATTTTTTTATACGCTGATATACTATATAGAAAAATGCGTTATCATTATAAAGCAGCACACCTACAGAATGATAAACATAGAAATAATTTTCTAAAATATAATGCAGAAATGGATTGCAGGATAAAGAAATTACCAAGTGCACAAATTGCAATTGTTCTACCTGCAAACAAGGGGTGTGTTTATGATTTAAGTCAATATTTAGAAAATAAAAATGAAAAACTGTTAAAATTACAGTAGGATAAACAATGCAAATACTTAACTAATGTTTATTTGTCTAACAAGACATGTATTTATCATCTATTTTTATATACATGTACGAGCCTGAGGTGAACTTTTATCTTTTGATGACATTTTATTTAAAAATCGCTCTAACTAAAATGTGTGGGATTGTAGCTTTAAGGGTTGAATTAGCATTTTTTTTAGTTGAACTTGAATTCCTAATTTTGTGGTTTTGTCACAAAAAACAACATTTCCATGGTTTCTGCTATTTGTTGACTGTTTATTTTTCCAAAAAGGTAAAATGTAAATAATGTTATGCAAAATAATCTTACAGCAGACGAAATGAAAATTTCATTCGATCTTAAATTCAGGATTGACCTACGGTACACAAAAAACCACAAAAATAAGTTTCCCACGAATTATAATGATTTACCAGCAAAATGTTCTCTATATTCAAACAAGACTTCCAGGACAATTGTTTTAGCATGGCATTTATAAAAATAATGAGTGTTTTATTTCTTAAACATAATTTTTTTTCCATACATTTGTATTGATAGAGCAAAACTGTGATTTATATGTTGCAGACACATTTGTTGAGCCTGTTACATTAATTTTATTTTATATTATTGATGATAAGATTTTAGTTATCTATTTACAATGAATAAATTATTTACTACATTTTTTGAAATGTGTCTTACCTGTTATAATATTGATGTTATTTTGAATTTAAAAAAAAATGTGCGAAAATAAATATTTTACTGAAAATTCTGGGTATTTGTTATTTGTAATTTCTCACATGAGTGACAGTTCATATTAGGTAACTGATATGTGTATATACTTTTTTACCTGAGATATATTTTTCATAGGATAATGGATTAAGGAATTTCAGCCATTAATTTGCACATTATATACAATATACAGGCAAGAACACATTATTTTTACATGATCATAATTGTATGATTTCATAATTTTTCTGACTGTTTTACTTTACCACTTTCAGCTTTATAATACTAAATATAACGAAATGAAGTTAATAAACGGATTTATAGAACTGCACTGAACAAGTCTGTTTTACAAAGTTTTGTCAATTTGATTTCTTGCTTACTTATTCGTGTGACATAATAATTATGTGGCCTTTAAAGTATCAAATATAATGTTAATTAAAATGTGACCATCCTGGAATTAAAGCCTATCTGCTTTTAAGACCAATTTTTAAAGAATAGATTTTTTATGTGTTCTACATCAATAATGTCACATGAGCCACATTTAAGACCACTCTGCTATTCCACTATATGATCACTATTAAGACCTGACCATTTTCAGACCCAGTTATTATTTTTTTTTATCTTTACTAACTTTGGCTTATCACTGTACAAAAATGTAGGAAACTGTCACTGACATGACAGGACTAGAAATAATTTTTCGAGATTCATGTTCCATTTAATGAAGGTCCAGACCAATATCTTGTGTTCAAAATTTCACGACCATTTGATCACCCTGATTTTCCAGAATGATTATTCTAATTGTGAAAAAAATGACCCAAAATTGAAAAGCGTTGCAAAGCTTTTCCTTCAGAACAGGCTAAGAATAGCACAAAAATACGATTTTCAATTTATTTCTGAATATCATTCTTATTTTTCTTTTGTTTATCTTTCTGCTTTAAAGGAACTCCACTGAGGTTTTTTTACATGACGGGACTGGAAATAATTTTTTGATATTATTACTCCATTAATGATTTAGATCTATATCAATAATTTATGTGCAAATTTTCAGATCATTAGCTCGCTCCGTTTTTCCAGAATAATTATTATAATAGTGAAAAATGACCCAAAATTGAAAAGCGTTTAAACGCTTTTCACTCAAATCGGACTAAAAATAGCACAGACATACGATTTTTAATATATTTCTTATATATTTCTTAATTATATCTTATTTATGTTTCTGTTTTAAGTGCTCATGTTTATCTACGTGAAAAATTAAGATTTTATGTTTTTAGGCTTATAAACCTCAGTGGAGTTTCTTTAAGAGCCCCAGCTGTTCTTTGTAAGAAACTCAAATTTTATGTTTTAGGCCTGATCTCAGTGGAGTTCCTTTAATATAGGACAATTAACAAAATACAAAGTGAAAAAAGAAAGACTTGATCATTGTCATTGTCATAAAATAACTCAAAATTCACTGATTGGACTACCTTGCAATTAAGACCATTTTGATCATTTCAGTGGTTCTAACTACATGTATATTGGAATTATTTCAATGTCCATTTAAAAGCGGTCCTTTTTTGAAAGTTTAATATAGGACAATTAACAAAATACAAAGTGAAAAAAGAAAGACTTGATCATTGTCAAAAAATAACTCGGCCTTGATAACAAAATTCACTAATTGGACTACTTTGCAATTAAGACCATTTTGATCATTTCAGTGGTTTTAACTACATGTATATTGGAATTATTTCAATGTCCATTTAAAAGCGGTCCTTTTTTGAAAGTTTAATTCAAATACAGAGCTATTTTTCTCTAATTCAATTATCAGGAAAGGCTATGCCTATATTCTGTAGATGAAACTGGTGACCGTGTGGCCACACAGAAGATATAAATTATATTTGAGTTTATCAACACTGAAATAAGGATAATAAGCTATAAAATCATCAAAATAGATATTTATCTATCTACCTACCAATAATGTCAAACCCCTCACGGGTCGCAGACATGACTTTAGACTTGTCATTTCAGAGACAGCTACATGTATGAGATACAAGGGAATCTCAGGCAACGAGTCCTTAGCTCTTATTAAAAGACACCTTGGTTCTTTTACATGCCCAGTGTATAGCACTGATACATGCGAGGATAACGTATATTTCTTACATGTACACCTCAAGTTAGGTGGGAAACACTGAAAGTGTCCCGGAAAAATCCAAAGGGTGTTACCCAGGATCGAACCCGGGACCTCAGGAGTGACAGTCAGTGGTCTTGAAAAGGGAAATATTCTAGCAGTTATAATAATTATGTATCTGTATGTGGTACATTGTGAGGACAGTATTGGGTGTATTATAAGCATTTGCAGTATGGAGGTACTAAATCAGAAAAAAAATCCTGGATTTCTTTAGTGGCTTGATACCTAAAAATAATATGAATGTCACAAGTTAAAATTATTATGATACACAAACAAAGTCATGTCTCTAACAAAAATAGAAGATAACATCAAATCGTGCGCATGTAAAGGTATCAGGACATGTATTTTGTGTGAAGCAAGTGGTAAAGGACCCGTGCCACAGAATCGGGTAAAGAAAATATCTATATTATAATTTTGTCACCATAAGTTGTACTTTTGCATATAGTTCGGACAATCATTTTTCGGATGGTGGCAGCAATATTTATTTCTGTGTTAAAAATCTCTGCGTACATGTAACACCAGGATCTGCTCTGGTTTAAGCACGTAAGGGAGCTTCTCCAGAACAATTATCTGGTTGGTTAAAACTGTTGATTCTAACTTTGCCAAGCCGCTTACAAAAGGATCATCCAACAGTATGGACAAACCGTCCAATTTTTCAGCTGTGACCATCACCTTAGAGTGAATGCCACTCACATATCCCTCACTTGCCCAGGACTGGATCAGTGAGTCTGAAGGATAGTTGTCAGGGTCACAGCTACTAAGTCCAAGTTCCAACTATGAGATGTTGTGCTATTTTTTGTGGGCAGTAATCTCCTCTGACAAATAATTATATATATCAGAATCTAGCTTTGGAATGCCACAGGACTAGGTCATAACAAATGGCTTCCACTCCCGTGACATTGAATCTCTTATCACAGCGCAAATGGCTGTCAACCAAGGATCAGACAAAGCCAACTCACTCCTTGTCCTAGCCAAATGACAGTGGCTCAAAAATGATCTGGAAAGACTAGAAAGGAGTTTCTCCTCTTCAGGAGACAAGTTAGACGTGGCTTTGAGGCTGTCTTCCTGATGTCTCTCCAGCATTAAAACTAAGGCCAGTAGACAGTGCTACTTTAACAGAACTGTCACAAGGCCTTCGAGTATTGGCACCCTAAGAGTCTCACAGAACTCCTGCTCTGCCATCTTGAAAATATCGGTGCAGGCTTTATGGAAAACCGGTACACAAACATTCTCCAAGTAAGCTACATGTATAAGGTCTAACAAAGTGCTGTTAAATCCCAGCAACTATCTGACCACCAGTTCCAAAGCTCAGATCCTTTTGTTGGTCACACTTCCCCATTCACACACAACCAGGATATGCCAGGGAGATTTGTTGGCCTCTGAAGCATGTTTCTTGGTAAAGTCACCATGACATCCTGGCATTAGGCTTCGAGATGTTCTTAGGCTACCACCTTGTAGTGCTTTTCCTTCATAGTAGAACTGTGTAATATTCTGCAAAGATTGTTAAATTAATGACATGATAATTTCAATATATTTTTGCGATAATTTCAATATACAATCTTACATCTGGAAAAAATATATTAAAGTCTCAGCTTACATGCAAAACAAACAAATATCCTCTTGTGATATGTCAATGAACCACAATGTTTTACTGATTTTTATACATTACACAAAACAATTATTAAAATAATCATTTAAGCTTATTTTTACATTCTATAATTTGCTATACAGTAATTTACATGTATCTGAACAGAACATATTAAAATATTCTGGAGTTTTGATCTTATGGGCAAAATAAACATTTTAATATCCTGTATAATTATGTTGAATCATCGTGCAATTTTATTTCATTTAGAATCATGTAGAAATATTCACTTACTGTGAAAACTGCAACAAAGCATGGCAAGAAGAAGTAAGCAATCATCCGAACCATGTTGGCTCCCACCTTGAATTTCCTGGTATATTCATACTTCACCAGAATTTCTGAAGAAAGAAAAAAAAACAAACTAGGAAACTACAAAACTCCTTTTGTAGACACAACGGAGGAGAAAAAAAGGTCATTTTATACTGATTTTTTGGGTTTTTTTAAGACCATTTAATAAATTATTGAAAATTTATATTTTAACTACTTTTAAAAGGGTCAAGTTCAGTCAACAAGGTTTTTTTAAAAGCAAGTCCAAGAATTTCATTTTATTGAATAATTTTTAAAAGCACTCCACAACACAAGGAAATGATTATCTTTTAAAAGACATTTTTGGGGAATAACTTTCAAAAACTTTATTCCAAAAAAATAATTCATGAATTATTAGAAAATTACGCAAAATAGTACTCATTAAAGTGACCTAAGCTAGAAGTCTTTTTAAATTTTGGGCAAGGGGGTTGGGGGTTTGGGGGCCCAAAGGGTTTAAGGATTGCTTTAGTGGGTTTTAAATCCTGCCAGGGACTTTGGTTTCTTTCATGTGAGGAAGCTATCTGTCTAGCTTACGGAATATTGGTGGTTCTACTCTAGTGCCAGAAATAATGCAAAGAAGGCAGCTGAGGTCTTCCTCGACCAGTAAAGTTGGGACGTCGACTTATACTGTGTCGGTGTGACATAAAACCCAATCAAAAAAAATAAAAGTAAATTGAATTTCGACAAAGAGTCACTATACTTGTTAGTTACAATGTTTCATCAAGCAGATTGTCATCAACAACTGGTACCTTACTGTAGTCATTATTCTAACAATGAATTTGTTTTATTAAACACATCTTTGTAATTTTGATAGTATCCAAAGTTATTAGACATAATTATATGGCTTGGCACTGGGCCTTCACATATCCATTATAGACAAAGTCTCAGGAAAACCATTTATCCTTAGGTTATCATTCCTACACCTGGCCCCAGAGGTTAAAAAACAAACTTTTCCTGCGCTCTGTCTTGAATCTTAGGATTTTCATTGGTCAGTTTGCATTATGTACTGGTTTCTAGCCAATCAAATGCCTGAAATCTGAGTTTGAAGTTAGGAAATCTCTTTTTAGCCTCATACCCTATTTTTTTTATTGGTTTAGTGGTTTACAAATAACATTGCCCCTTAACATTGCCTAAGCTCATCTATTTTTGATCAAGTTCTTAATCAATATTCAAAGTTTTGATGAAGGTTCAACCATTGCTTTAAGTTTTGATAAAGCTTTTAACAATTGTGCCCTGTATTTAATGTTTCTGTAAAGTTATGAACATTTTTCTTACTTCATTTCAGGATTTTGGACCAAAGGTTAACTTTAAGAGAAAGAAGGTGAAGACTTCAACATTTAGTGGCCTTCCACCATTTAGTAAAGCTCTTTATAAAAGAATGCAAAAACTTGATGTGTTAGATAAATTTATACCAGTTGAACAGTGTCATCTTGAATATACTTCAGAACGAGGCTCTGCCATTGACCCGCATTTTGATGATTTCGGTTTTGGGGGGAAGGGGTTTGAACGGTGAAAATTATCGGACAAGGATTTTATCTGTGATAAAACATAAAAACTTTTAAAAGTGCATTTTCCAATAAAGGGCGGGGGTTTCACCCCTTTTTTGGTTCTTTAGTGAGGCGTTTTTAAAAGGGGAAAAACCCTTTGAAATTTTCTTTAGAGAACACATAAATGAACAAAGTTTGGGCTTTTAAACTCTTAAAAATTTGCCCGAAAAATTTTTAAGCCCGGGGGGGCTAGTTTGCGAAAAAAGGGAAAATTTAAACGGGAAAATTGCTTTAATTTTTTTAAGGGGAAAGGGCCATTTGGGAAAGAAAAATTTTTTTGCTGCTTTACTTTAAATAAACTCCCCTTGGGTTTTTGAATCCCACCCAGTGTTCTGAATTCTTTTATGTGATTAAGTCAAACTATCCAGCTCGGTGATTCTATTCAGGTGCCTGCTCATGCGTGTAAATTTCCTCAACCAGTAAAGTTGAAAAAGTAGAGCCATGACAATGACAGTATTGATGTGACTTGTAACCTGGCAAGACAATACATAGTGAATTTACACTATCTTCTGAACAGAAAAATAATGGCAAATTTTATTTTTTAAAGCACAAATGAAATGGTAACATGTTTACATGCTCAGTATGAACTATTGCTTCTGTTTTAATATGCAAAAAGGTTTTTGCTTGCATTACAAAATGCGTATAAAATCTCATTTTTTGTGTGCATAAAATGTACAGACAAAATAAAATGAAAGGCAAACCATTGATGGGTTTTTAAGTTTTAAGAAAATAAAGGACAATTGAAAACCAAGCATATTGTACCTGTAAATTCTGTATCTCCCATTGTATAATTATTGTAATGTTGTAATTTTAGACCATTTGGTTGCTATTAAGAAAACTTGCTGTCTGTCCTACACTTTGTTGAAATTTATTGACATTTTCTTCAAACAACATCTGTAATACTGTTCCATGAACAGGAAGATGATAAGTTTACAAAAAGAATAGGGAACATAATGTAAACTCATATGTCCCAGATAGCATTGAAAATGGAAAGAAAGTATTCTCTTAATTAGGGAGGTCTGAAGCTATGATACATGCATCTGGCACAACAAATATACCCCGATCCCAAAAAAGTTTGGACAGTGATATATCATAACCAAGGGTTTAGATATTTATCATATACCATTGCAAATTAGATCTCATAGCTGTAACTTTAAATACATGAAATGAGTCAGTGTGTCACGATCCTTGGCCTTTGGGGGCCCAATTTTTGACCAAAAAACTAGAAAAAAAAAACTAGGAAGAGGTCAACTGGACAATGATTCATGCCAGATATCTCGGCTATAGTGATACAGTGATATACAATATATTTCTCATATGTATATCTGTTGAAAATTACGGCATGATCGGGCCAATATTGAGCCACATTATATGCTAGTATTTGATTTATGATGGCATTATTGAACTACTTAAACAGATAACGAAGGTCCGTAATTGAATTAAACGCCTCACTTATTATGCTTGAATCATGTATTGGAATAAAACATTCGAGCCACTGTCTGTTATGCTTTAAATCATTCTATTGGAATAAAACATTCGCGCTTAGTGACAGCATCGATTCTGTATGAATCGATAAATGGAAAAATAACACAAAATATAATTTCTTACAATTCAAAGACAAAACAAACAAACAAAAATAAAAACAACAAATAAACGTTAACAAAGATTGCATTTGTGATAAAATGTTATGCCACGCATTATACAATAATAGTAGGAACAAAATTTGATCTCGTTTATTTCTGTACAAATGAACTTTGCAATTATGCTGTACATGTAGTGTCTAATAAATTTGCGGGGTCATAGTCATATTTCAGCATGTCATATTTATTTGCTGCTTCAAAATTATATTTTATTTAATATAATGACAAGAGGGTTATGATGGCCCTATATCGCTCACCTTAGTATAAAGGCTCAAAATAACAGAAGACGGATGATATTTATATCTACGGATGAAAGACATGCATAAATTATGTCGAAATCGAGGTCAACTATTCCACGGATGTAATATAAATCCGTGATAAAATGGAACCTTAATTGGAAAATCATTTCCAGTCCTATCATGCCAAATTACCCCGGTATAGTTTTTTTTAATTTGTTGTATGTAACATCAATTTTCAGAACTGAAGGCATTAATTTGAAATCAAATACAAATACATGTATACATAAGTTTTCGGGATCATTTAAAATGAAGGCCATGAATCTAACATAGATTTAACAGAGTAATAGCCTTTTTAAGGTTAGAAAATTCGTAGTTAAAGCTTTGCAAGCAAATCAACCTTTAGAAAGACATGTATATACTGGCATTTAAAACTTAAACATAGAACATAATATAAATCCGTGGCTATTCAAATCAGCATCTGGAACTTTGTATATACATATACAATGTAGTAGAATTTTTATACATGAGCTTGAAATACTAATATTTCTGAAAACAAAAGTTACGTCACTAGATCACTTTCTAGACCAACTGATATCAAAGTTAAAATCTGAATCTGTGGCAGTAGTTCAAATTTCAATGTCGTTATTATATAAATAGGTCACTGGGTCAAAATCTTGGTAAAATTTCAATTCTACATCCGGAACTGTGCACATGCATATCGTCAAATAGCTTTAGCTCTTTTTACACTGGGTCAAAATTAAATTAAAATCTAGGTCAAATTTCAATTCTGCATCTGAAACTAGTGAAAGTCAAAATTTCATAGCTTTAGCTCTGTTTAAAAAGTAGGTACTGGGTCAAAATCTAGGTCAAAAAATGCCTATCTAAAAATGTGCATCTTGTCCAAATTTCATTTTATTCTGTAGCTTGAAAGAAAAATAGGTCACAATTCCTGGACAGGATGCTTATTTTACCTCAGGCTATAATTTGTAAAAACTTGGTAGAGGTTAATTAGACAATATTTTATGCCAAATATCTTTTCTATATACATGTACATTTACATTTTGAAGACAAATCCCACGATCCTCCGGTGCAGGGCCAATTTTGACCCCAGGTCTATAACTAAAACAATCTTGATAGAGGTCCAAATGACAATGTTTCATACCAAATATTTAAGCTCTGGCCTTTAGAGTTTTTTTTAAAGAAGACTTTCTAAATTTTTACTAAATACATAATTATAAGGAAATCACATGAAACCGGAGAGGGGCCAATTTTGACACTCTAGCTATAATTTGAGTTCATATAAGAAGATTTTTCACTATATAATCTATAAAATACACGCACGCACGCACACACAAGAGAGTTTAATCACTATATGCCGCCGCATCGCAAATGATGTTGTAGCGTAAAGAAACAACATTTTGACCTATGACGCATAATATAAAAATATAATATATAATGAAATTTAAAAAAAATGAGCACACTCGATGTATATTATTTTATTTTATGTATAGCCATCTTACTCATATAGTGATTCAAATTAGTATTTTGTAATCTACAATAATAAAGATTAATCCTTTCACATTTTTAAGTGATAAATATTTATTTTATTTTAATCAAGTTGACCCGGAGCTAATAAAAATTTGCCAATCCATCAGCGTTAATTAATAGTGGTGGTGGTTTTTGTAATTTTCACCCCGGATCAGGAAAGAAAGCCACACTGAATTTACCAGAGCACAGTTCAACCACCAGTTCCTGGGGAGTCTCAAGTACATGTACTATTTGCTTTCACTTTCGCTAGGAACTTGTTACTTCTGTACATACCAGTACAGAGGAACAGTGCGAATGACCGTAGAAAGGATTTCATGATCAATCACAACGAAAGTGACCTGCGCCGTGCGGGAATCTAACTCAAGTCGCCCGATTCCCAGTCAAACACTACCTCGTGAGCTTACCGGACAACTTAACTTATACTGGACTTAATGGTACATATTACATTGCATAATGTATATTTATGTTTTCCCGCTATTAAAGGGAGTCGTCTGCTAGTATTAAAGCGAATATCACAATATAGTTAAAACCTATCTAACCATAAACATTAACGTAAGGATTTACAACAGCCGTGTTATATTTCAATGTCTCATATATAAAGTTGGACCGTGAATTCATCAACTTTTCTGTATTGATGCTGCGAGGAGTGAATTGTATCAACACCTGTTACATCCCCTGAGTAGGTATGAATATGCCGTAAAAATTTATTACCCAAAACATACTTTTACTGTGTTCACATTCAATGCGGCAATGAAACACTATCAGTTTTTAAAAAAATATTATGCAGATATTCATTTATTTACGGTAAAATGTTTCCTCTGGGGAACTTTCGATGGGCATGCCGGACTCCGACCAATAAGACTAATCTGCTGGACACTTTCGTAAAACAGTTCCCTTTCAAACATACAGATTATCTTGCCTTTCGCGAGGGCCCAGACTCGGTCATGTTCAATTTTCAACGGGGTAAAAATTTAATAATAACATCGGTTTGAAATGTTGTTATATGATCAGAAAATGTTGATCGTAGTGTCCCTAACGATTTATTTCAAGTACATGAACGTACGAGTACTTGTTCAAATCTGGAACCTGCACCAGAGCAGGTATAAAGCATCTCCTTTACAAAAATCTAAAGCTTACATTTTTTACAACGCTTCAGAATCCAAGATGGCGTCCAATATGGCAGCCAATTTTATGCAAAATTGAAATTTACCCAAAGTAGATTTTGTAGCAAAGATGATGCCGTTTTCGATAAAAAAAGGTATTTAAACATTTTGAAAAAAAATCGACATGTATGTTATTATCAATGAAAATCACATATCGGTTTAGGTTTTTGTTTTAAAATATTAAAAACAAGAAAAAAAACCCAAAGAAAATAAGAAAATGTCTCTGTTTCGCATATTTTTCCAAAATTGTTTCAAAAAAGAAATAAATAAAAATAAATAAATAAATAAAAAAAATCGAAGAAGCTATAAAACGAAATACTGTTTAGAAAGTGCTAGTCAAACAAATTATTTCATTTTTTTACGAGTATGAGTATATTTTATGTTATATAAACTTCCTTTAAACACAAAGATTTGCTCAAATGCGGCTTCGATGACAGGAAAGGAAATTAAATCGACTCTCTCTATACACGGGCATGTTCAAACGTACAAGAAATGTACCTGGCCTTAAAATGCATCATCAGGCACACTTTAAAACATAATTTTACCATACTGTAACACACAGGAAAACAATTACGAGTACAAAAAGGATATACTATTCACTAACAAAATATGAATACTATGTTTGGAATACGTTTAACTGTGCCATGGATGATTCTATTGGTTTGTATTTTTATCGTATTTAATTATTATCTTATTATTAATTTTGTGCCGTGAGTAAATATTGATTTCTGTTTTCTGATATTTGTTTATAAATCAATGACTTGCTTTACATGCTGACATTACATGGATATGTAATTAATACAACTTGGATTAAAACATGACGTGTTGTTCTCCTCCTTCTTTGTAAGGGCGTATACCCTTTTTCTTGATTCCCTTTTCTTTGATTTTGGTTCAAGATATAAACCCCTTATGGGAACTAACAGGAACTGAAACATCAAAAGAATAGTTATGCTGTGTTCCTAAAAGGACATCTACAACAAATTTCTGAGCAAAATCTTAAATATTACATGGGCCCATTTTCAGAAATATGGAAAACTCTAATAATACATGTACGTAATATCTTTTTAACGAAAAATGTTTTTTCTTTAAAGTTTTATTAATAAGCAAATTACATGTGTAACAATCAGTGAGCATACCACCCATCTTAATGCGTATGTTTAGTCAAAATCTTTGAAATATAACGTTCAGCTGGTATAATTTACAAAACATAAGCAAATCAAATATGCAAACATGTGACAGTATTAAATGTAAGAGAAATTTACATGAAGTCTAACGTGACCACTGCTTTAAATAATGCAAAAGTTATTTAGACCCCTACCATTAGAAAAAAACAGAACATAACCAGATACAAGACGTGTAACTATTTTTTATATAATCAAGGAAAATAGCGCTTTAAAATGATCTGTATGACGATGACACACAAACAATTTGCTAAAGTATTCATTCCACACCTACAATTTAGTATTACGCGATCATTTATGTTCCTTAAAGAAGTGTGCATTATGTCAATATTAGAGAATAATGGTTTTTAAAAAATTTCCCTTTACTCTTTCAAAATTCATCCGATATATTTAACGTTAAAACAAATGCCTTACTAGTCAGGCAAAAATAAAGTTAATCTAGATGTAACTAGCAAAGAAAATGTGTTTGTTTGCTTTTGGTTAGGTTAGATTGTGTAAAAATTGATGACTGGTGGTTTCCACTGTATTACTCTTGAGTAAATCCTGATAAAACAAGATGTCGTCCAACAGATCTTCTTGCAACCAGTAAACGAGTGTCGAGTGTGTTTTAAGTCTTAAGTTTTAATTTAAGTCAATATTTACAAAATAAAACGTTGCAACGGTTTAAAATTACAGCAGGGTAACATCTATGTATATCACATATAAATTCGTTTATTTCGTGTTTTATTAGTAACCATCACTAATTTCTAGTTGATATGTACTTCTAGCTAATATATTGTAATGCTTCTTAATCTTTTCCTCTTGTCTGGATTTTACAACTGTGTATTTCTTTGTTCTTTTGACAGCAGTAGGCGCGCAAAATATGCACTTTTATGGGGGGGGGGGGGGGGGGAGGAAGATGGCTTGGTTTGATCAATTTGTAATAAATTTGCGCAAAACCCTTTCATTCAATGAAATGCGCGCGATTGACAAGTCCTATACTTTTTGTATAGGATCGTTTAATGTTTCATAATTATAGCGATACTATTACTTGTTTAACCACTTTTTGGTTGCCCAACTTTGTGTCATCTATTATGACGTTCGCAACAATTGTTTTGTATATGAACGTATATTTGAAGTTTTTGGTTTATCATTTGATTTTATTATAATATATTCTTAGCCAAAAAGGACGCCTTGCTCTGTCAGACATTATCAATCAAAGTTTTCAGTTTGTATCAACTCTACTGATTATGAAACATATTAATAGGGAGGAACATATAAATTATAAAAGTAAAACATCATATACCTTACTAAGGTATTTTTTCGTTGGACAAGACATTTATTAATCATCTAGTTCAATATAAATGTATGAGCTTGTGGTGAATTTTTTATCTTTTGATGACAAGATATATAGTAGCTTTAAGTACATTTTTGTAATTCACTTGTTTTTTTGTAAATAAATCAAATTGTATATTTTATGCTTATTGACCTCAATGGAGTTCCTTTGAACTTGTATAACCAGGAATGTAAACATGTATTTTAAGCATCAGTGACCAGTCTTTTGGCATTTTAACGGCCTTCAAAAAGTTATTATATTTCTGATATTTAATTGTAATCTAAAGAAATGTTTTACATGTTTCAAAAAGAAATACAAGTTCAAAGTAAGCAACTCCATTAAATTAAAGCTGCACGTAAAATATTTCCAGAAAACCAATATTGAGACAAATGTACTAAAATTTTAAAAAAGGATCCAAGTAATATTTTTCATGTTTAAGACTGATTTTGCAGTATTTTATCACCATATTTCTACTGCGTTATTAGTTTTAACGCAGTAAAGGCTATTTTTACATATGTTGACGACTTTTTTTGGTAATTTTCTTTGATTGTTAGTGCCTATTGCAATATTTAAAATACTGTATTTGCTCACCTCACAATATTTTACTTTTAAATGCATTTCCAAAATGTTCATGAAAATTAACATGAATCTGGTGGCGTGCTGCTTTAAGATTTGGAATTAAGTGATATGTGTGTATTTACGTTGAATTTGTTTATTTTTTATTTTCTAGGTAATTTCTGGGTTATCTTGTATCTTCATGATGCAGATTCTATATGTCCAGAAAATTTACACATCAGTTACTGGAAACAAATGTGAAAAGAAAGATGATTCGTCTATTCAACAATGTGCAAACTCCGCCTCGAAAATACATTCCTTTGCAGAAAAAGTACTCAACAAGGATCGCCGCGTATTACAGGCCGAATCCTTTGAACATATAAGAGTTTCAAACGAAAACCAATGCAAAGACAGAAAATTCCTAGTTTACCGTTGTGACTCTTCGATTGGTTGTGGCGGCTGGGCGGATCGACAAAAAGGCATTGTATCAACATTTCTAATGGCGCTTCTGACGAAGCGGGTATTTGTGATCGATATGACCCGTCCGTGTAAACTAGATCAGTTTATGTTGCCTAACACGTACGACTGGTCAGTATGTCAATCATATATCAAATCTGTTCCAAACCGTTTAACAGGTACATTTAATCACATTGAAGACTATAAATTTGCAACAGTCGTTAATCACTTTGACTTTGAAAGAGTCTGGACCAAACGTGTAATTTTCATACGATTTCATACACATGCTATCGACGGATTAAGACAACACGATGAAGCTAAATCAAGATTTAAATGGCTTTTGAACATGACCAACGAAGACGTCATACATGTAGTACTTAATACATTATTTCAACCAAGCGATAAGATTATAAATGATGCAATTGAATTTCATGATAATCGTATAGGAGAGAAAAAATTAATGTGTTGTCACATCCGCAAAGGCAGAAATCCAAGCATTCCCGAAGACAATAACCTTCGGTTTGGACCACCAAATGAAACTGTCATATTTGATTTTTTGAAAAACTATGACAGAAAATCGGATTATTTGATTTATATTGCTTCTGATTCAGAGGAAGTGAAACAAAGCGCTAGAAATCATTTTTCATCATACATCAACATTAACCGAACTATTGTTCATGTAGACAGACTGGGTACATTTAGAAACTTAAAAACAGAAGCGTGCAATGGACTATATTCAGTTATTTTGGAACAATTGATTCTTTCATTATGTGACGAACTCGTCTTGACACGGAGTGGATTAGGTACATTTGCCGCCTATATGAGAGGAATTGCTGAAGGTCTTTTCTTATATCATCCAACTGAGAAACGAATTGTTACGACAAACCTTACAAATATACAAAAAGTTTTTCATTTTCTATAACACAACTTGTATGCTGTGAAAAGGTAAAATAGGCGTCGTAAGGTGAAAAGGCGAGATTTTAGCATTTTATCATTCGAGCGTCTTGTCAGGTTTGTACCGGGATACGGTATTTAATGTGGTGCTCCAATCCTTTTATATGCCCGAAAGAATTTCGGGAATATTATGTTATACCCCCTGGCGTCCGTCCGCCCGTCCGTCCGTTAGCAATTTAGTTTCCGGAGCATAACTTAAGTTTCATTTGGCCCAAAATATTCAAACTTCTTAGAATGATTGTCCATATTGGGTAGAAGACCCCTATTGATTTTGGGGTCACAAGGTCAAAGGTCACTATGACCTTAAAACTGAAAACAGTTTCCAGATTCCATTCGGCCCACAGTGTTCAAACTTCATAGGATGATTGTCCATATTGGGTAAAAGACCCCTATTGATTTTGGGGTCACAAGGTCAAAGCTCAAGGTCACAATGACCTTAAAACTAAAAACAGTTTCTGGAGCATAACTTAAGTTCCATTTGGCCCACAGTGTTCAAACTTCATAGGATGATTGTCCATATTGGATAGAAGACCCCTTTTGATTTTGGGGTCACAAGGTCAAAGGTAAAGGTCACTATTACCTTAAAACTGGGAACAGTTTGCGGAACATAACTTAAGTTCCATTTGGCCCACAGTGTTCAAACTTCATTGGATGACTGTTCATATTGGGTAGAGGACCCCTATTGATTTTGGGGTCACAAGGTCAAAGGTAAAGGTCACTATTACCTTAAAACTAAAAACAGTTTCTGGAGCATAACTTAAGTTCCATTTGGCCCACAGGATACAAACTTCATAGGATGAGTGTCCATATTGGATAGAAGACCCCTTTTGATTTTGGGGTCACAAGGTCAAAGGTCAAGGTCACTATTACTTTAGAACTGAAAAACAGTTTCCGGGGCATAACTAAAGTTCCATATGGACCACAATATTGAAACTTCAAAGGAGGTTTGTTATTTGAAGGAGGTAATACTTCATTCAATTCCCATGTCTTACAAATGCTTCATCTTTACTAAAAAAAATCACTTTCGGGCATATAATGCTCCGCCTAGCGGTGCTCTTGTTTAGTATGAATTGTGGATGAATCACGTGATAGTAGTTAATTCATAATTTACTTTTGCCAAGCAGCATCAATCGTTTCAAGGGATTTATCCAATTGAAATATCTTTATTCACAAACGTGTAGTATGTTCGCCGAATTGCAAAATAAATATTTGTTCGGCAAAAGCTTACACCCCCATTAAAACAATAGAGAAACACAAAATCCCAAAGGCGTGTTTTTTATCTAACATTTCAATCTTCACATAAAATATATAATTCTTTATAAAAAATGAGAATAAATTTCAACATGACAGAGGAATAAAACAGTTCTGCGTTTAGTATGCAGCTCTCAATGTTTTTTTTCAGTGATCGTTACTTTTCAATATTCAAAGATGACAATAAAGAAAATCCGAGCAACTGCAGGCCTATATCTATTCTACCTGCAATTTCAAAAATATTGGAAAGACACTTTGCAAATCAATGAATATTTTTTCTTTAAGAAAACAAATATCATTCATAAAACTTAATCAGGGTTTAAATAGTACCATTCATGTCACACTGCACTAATTCGGCTATTAGAAGCATGTTGGAGCTGTATCTTTAGATCTAAGAAAAGCTTTTGATCTTGTTAACCATCAAATTCTATTGCATAAGTTAAAATTTTATCATTTTTCAGATAAGTGGCAGCTGTAAAAAGTTGCCCCGTACTTCACTTCAATGTTATATTCTTCTGGTCCTTCAGGGTCATTGATACCAGGACTATTAAGTGTTGAGAATTGAGTACCGCTCAAGCCGGTGCCAGGGGGCGTGAGGGATATCGCACTTATTTATTATCCCTCATATACAATTTCAATCAAACCGAGTCTTCAATTTTCATGTAATTTTGTTGTGATTTATGCTTCCGATGGATTATTTTGTTTTAAGATTTTTTGAAACTTCTGGCGTTCCTCAGGGATCTATTCCGGCCCCCTTTTATTCTTATTATATACATGAATGATATACATTTTGTATTACTTTAGCTATTACATATTGTAATATAGATCTTTATGCTGACGATTCTACCATATATGTATCTGATCATGATTTGAATGTAGCAGAAAGTAAATTTCAACAAAATTTGAATGCTATAGATCGATGGTGCAATTTAACCAGTATGTAAATCCATCCAAATAAAACAAAAAGCATAATATTATGTACGAAACAAGAAGTAATTTTTGTAATGAACTTACTATATGTATTGCAGAACAAAAATGTTAAATGTAAAAATACATAGAGGATATTTGTTTGTTTTGCATGTAAGATTGAAATATAATTTCACTGAGTGAACACCGGATGCAATATTTTCACGAGTGGCGTAGCCACGAGTGAAAATATAATAGCTGGTGTTCACGAATGAAATATATTTCAATCTTATATGTAAAACAAATAAATTTTCTTTTTATTTCATGCGTTTTAAGTGATTTTAAGTAATTTTTACTGATTTTGCCGCGTAACGTCGCGCATTCTTCTTTGTGACGTCATCACATCATGACGTCACATCAACAATTTTGAAATATAGTTCTGTTAAATTTCTCTAATTTTGTTACATTTTTAACATCATGTATGGTGACATCGACTTTCTTTTTCTAAAGAAGCAAAATTTACAAATGATGGCATTTATTTCTGCCTGTTATTCCATTCAGTTATGATTTTCTTTTCATCCGCATTCAGATAAAGTCCGGCTACAGTGAAAATTATATTTTATAAATTTCACTAGTGGTTTATCAGAATATAATCATCTGATATATTACAATAAAACACTGGAAAGCATGAAATACAAAACATTATTAGGTGTTAATATTGATATAACTTGTCATGGAATTACCAAATTGAAGCACTTTGTTCAAAACTTAACTCAAAAATAGTATTATTCAGGCGTATATCTTATTATTTGACAGATGAAATGAAACAGTTATTTTAAAATACATATATAATGTCGAATTTTTATTATTGCTGTACTGTGCGGAGCAAAGGAAATATAGGGGTATCTAAATAAAATCTATTAATTCAAACAAGAGCTGCAAGGATTATTTTTAAAAACAAAGGAATAAGAAATCAAGATATACTGAAAGAACTTACGTGGATGTCATTTCTTAAATATCTGATATTTCGATTTTTTTCCAGCAGTGAAATTCACAATCACATAATGACATACATGTAGTTATTCCTAAACACCGCACAAACTATGGTAAAAAAACTTTTTTGTTACAATGTTGCAAAGATTTGGAATAGAATACCATCTAATATACGTTCTTCTAATTCTCCGACATCTTTTAAAAATAAGTAAATAAAAAAACGAAAAAAAACAAAAAACAACAAAAAACAAAACAAAAAAACTTATCTTGCAAATCAAATAAATATTTTCATAACTCTGTCATTATGGCATGATACTTACTATGCATGTATATTTGTTAAAATATGTGAAAATGAAAATTGTGTAAATGATATTTAATGTTTAAAAGGAGCGTTTGTCCAAAAAAAAGTTATGTTTTTGTGTTTAAGTTTCTGTATAAATTGTTTAAAATTAAGATATGTTATACACTGTATGTTTTCTTCGATAATATATCTTCATGTGTTACCTATGGTGGCATATTTCTGCCACCAGATAACCTGATAAATAAATAGTTAATTAAGAGGTTAACTTGTTACATAACTAGTTAACATGATAACTCACTAGTTAATTAAGAGGTTAACTAGTTATGTAACTAGTTAACCTGATACCTAACTAGTTAATTAAGAGGTTTACTAGTTACGTAACTAGTTAACCATATAACTAACTGGTTAATTAAGAGGTTAACTAGTTACGTAACTAGTTAACCATATAACTAACTGGTTAATTAAGAGGTTAACTAGTTACGTAACTAGTTTACCATATAACTAACTGGTTAATTAAGAGGTTAACTAGTAACGTAACTATTAACAATATAACTAACTGGTTAATTAAGAGGTTAACTAGTTACGTAACTAGTTAACCTCTTAATTAATTAGTTAGTTATATGGTTATCTGGTGGCAGAAATATGCCACCATAGTTACCTTCTGTAAATAAAGATGTTATTGATACATGTATTATCAATATTTCAATTATTCCCTAAGCCAGCTTTGAAATAATTGATGAATTTGAAAAGATCTTTTGAGTCACATATTGTTTCAAATAGTGTGCGCTGATGAATATTTCATTATTTAGTTCGGATAGAATTGGAATATTGTTAAAAAATCATTAAAGTGTCAATTCTGAAAATAATAAAGTATTGTTTAAATTCTAGGAACAGAATACCTTGTTCAGCAATTAAATCTTTTATATGAATATGCTTTAAAAAATTTCAAAATCAATGTAAGTTATTATCTGTTTGGTGGGCTGTCCATTAACGGTACAATGCGTGAATATTCGGTAAAAGAGGTTTTGTTTATATGTCAAATATTATAGATCTATTTCCATTTCAACTATCATTTAAAGTTTGCACTGAAAAAATCAATGAAAATCAATGTGAGAATATAGCGAAATAACTTTTATGTTTATTCTATATATTACCAGCATGGCAGTCCCGTTTGACCGAAAGGCCTTTGGATTTTGGCATTTTTTCTTAGCATCCACGTTTTGAAAATTATAAGAAAATTCTCAAAATTCGACTGTAGCAGTATGTGTAATCAGTTTGATAACATTAAAAATGCTACTGCAATAAATTTTGTAAAAATAGGACTTTTGTTATGCTATTTATTAACAAAAGCTACGGCAAGGGCAGGGTGGGGGGGGGTAATAAAAGCCCAAATGCATATTTTTCGGAGTAATCAAAAAAAAAAATCAACAAGAATTTGTAACAGAGTTACCAACGTCCCCCGCCTCGGGAAAGTTTTATATGAAGCATAAAATTGTGCTATTTCAAAAGATTGAAGTATGGATCTAAGGACTTTCAGTCCAAAATTATGATCAATGGTAGATCTGCAAATGCAACAATAAATTTATTAAAGAAATACTAGTAATATGAAACATGGAATTTAAAAATCTATCATGTTAACCTTTGACCTCTAAGTGTGACCTTGACCTTGGAGGTAGGGTGCAGGTGTTATGCATAACATATTGTCATATCCATATTACTTTTTGTGCCAAGTGTTTTCAAAATCCCTTGAACTATGAAGAAGTTATAGATCGGACACAAAATATACCCTATAACAGACTATGTCAATCTTTGACCTCTAAGTGTGACCTTGGAGGTGGTAGGGACCCATGTTTTGCGCCTGACATATCATCTTATTATTGTGATTATTTGTGCAAAGTATTTTCAAAATACCTTGATCTATGAAAAGGTTATGGACTGAACACAAAATATACCCTATCACAGGCTATGTAAATCTTTGACCTCTATGTGATAACTTGACCTTGGAGGTAGGGACACATGTGTTACGCATGACATATCATTTTTAATTATCATTGTGACTTTTTGTGCCAAGTATTTTCAAAATCCCTTAATCTATGAAGAAGTTATGGACGGGACACAAAATATACCATATAACAGACTCTGTGAACCTTTGACCTCTAAGTGTGACCTTGACCTTGGAGGTAGGAGTGCAGGTGTCGTACCTGACATATTGTCTTATTATTATTATTATTATTGTGACTTTTGTGCTTAGTTATTTCAAAAACCGAAGAAGTTCTAGATCAGATACAAAATATAACCTATAACAGACTATGTTAACTTTTGACCTCTTAGTGTGACCTTGAACTTGGAGGTAGGGATGCAGGTGTTGCGCATGACACATTAATATTATAGTGACTATTTGTGGCAAGTATTTACAAAATCCTTTGATCTATGAAAAAGTAATGGACCGGACACAAAATATACCCTGTCACAGACTATGTTAATCTTTGACCCCCAAGTGTGACCTTGACCTTGGAGGTAGGTGACCGATTGCTGCGCATGACACATTGTCTCATTATTGTGAACAATTGTGGCAAGTATTTACGAAATCCCTTCAAAAATAAGAAAATTATGGACCGGACACGATATATACCATCAAATAGACAATGTTGACCTTGAATGAGCAAGTGCGACCTTGACCCTGAAGGTAGGGGTCTGGTTGTAGCGCATGACACATCGTCTTATTATAACAAACATTTGTGCCAAGTTATTTCAGATTCCTTTGATAAATGACAAAGTTATGGACCGGACACGAAAGTGTGACGGACGGACAGACGGACGGAGCCTATTACTATATCTTCGAAAAGGCGAGGGAAAATAAGTAAAGAGACCCAACTAAAATGTTTTATCTTAATAAGACTCATGCTACTCAATGACCTCCAGGGTAGTAAAAAACTTAAATAATATAGTTTCACAGACTTTTAAAATGTGCTTTCTCATACAAGACTATATCAATTTTATGACTCCTGGGGCGGGGCTAATATTGACCCAGGGGGCATGATTGATACCAGTTTTGTACAGGCTATCAAGACATTGCTCAATTACAAATATCTAAACCTTAGTCATTGTAGTTTCACAAAGTGATTATTAAATTTGTTTTCTTATGCAAGACTTTATAACCAAAGTGAACCCCTGGACGGGGCTGATTATATCGGGCAGACAACACTTGAAAGTTGACCATATGTCAATCAATTTGTTGAGTATTTACGCAACAAAAATGACGTACAATATGCTGCACACACTTGTCTGACTTCATTTTTTTCCACAGATACATCAAATGCCTAAGTAGAGCAAGTTTCTTCATTTGTAGTGTAGAGTATCATCACGAAAGTCTTGACATAAAAAATGGATTAGCTGACTGTTGTGAAAACCGGTATTAAGGTATTCTCCTTGCATGTGGGGATATTTGTAACTTGCTGAAGGGCAAGGTTTTACTCTCTGCATTTTGCTGATAACAATTATGTTTTTTTCCTGACTACTGGATATATGCAACTTAACAATTATATGCCTTTTGTCTGCCACTAAGTTGAAGTCTAAATCAGGTTTTTATCAGCATTACATATTATCAACGCCTTGGTAGATATTTTGTTAACCTCTTTAATCGTTAGATGGTATTTGTATTCATACTTGTGATGTCTGTTTTCATCTGAAATTTCCTCTTTGTGACTGAGGAGTTTCCTTTAAAGATTGAGGCATCAGACTTGCAGCCGCCGTTTATCCCAGCGTGATGGTAAGAAGCGACTAAATGGGTTCAATTCGAACTACTGGCTGCTATGAGCAGGTGAGGTGGTTCTTATCCCTGAAGTTGCTTTATTTTTGTAACACCTTGTGTTAGCAAAACCATCTTTCAGCGCCATATGACTTAAATTGTGTGGTGCGCTACCAGCAAGGAGCTTACCAGGACATCAATCAAAATAGAAGAGGGCACAAGGGCAAAGTACGGACGGGTAATATTATAAATAATAGGAAACAATAGAAACCGTAAAGGATATTAAAAAGACAATTAATTAAAGGCCAATATAAGGATAAGGGTGACGGGTGTAGGGGAATGGAACCAGAAGGCCGGGGAAGAGGTCGGGAGAAAAAACTTGAGGGAAGCGGAATATTCTTACTGTTGACAACAAAAACAAGAAGGGACACAAAAAATGGCTCCACAGTTAGACAATTACCATGTAACAATTAACAAAACATACATCTGAAGAAATAACTTGTCTTAAGAAAAAAAATTAATTTTGTAAGTTTCTAAATATATATAAATAGACTTATTTTCAATCGATGTTAACTCGCTCTCAAACAAAAGTCATTTTCGATTTAAGTATGGTTATACATTGTATTATTAATTCAAATACAATTTTGTAAGTGGCCACTTTTCCCTTAGTAAAATAAAGGAGATAAAAACTCAAGCTCTTGTATCTGGAAAAGAGGTGATCCCCCGGAAGCAATGCAAAACAACACAATTACTTGAAAATTACAGAGTAAGAAGACTTGTATTCATGCTCATTTAATTTGATTTTCCTTTTAAAATGTGTTTGTCGATTTGGTCAAAATGTGTTTTCTTATGTTGTATGAAAGAGATTAAGTAGATGAAGAGATAGGGTTTGTTTGAAGATGTTAAACAAAAGACCAGCTGCTGTTTGAATTCAATAGAAATGTTCTTACAAAATTTGAAATATAATTATAGAAATTAACTTTACAGTTTGTATAAATTTTATTGTTAAAACATCGGATATTAATTCAATTGACTTCTATATTAAGGCAATGTATGAGTCAATGACTAAGGTTTTATTTTAAATAAGTAAACAATATTTCAGCAATATGCCTAAACTTTAATAAACCTTACATACAAATATTTAATATCGTAAGATATATAAGTGCGCGTGCCTGTGTGTGATTGTCAGTAATTTCGTAAATTGCCTTGTATTAGATGGGAGATTACTGCGTCAGATTGTAATGGGAATAATAACACTAGTTTTCTCTCTTTGCAAGTTACAAGTCTCGTTTACACCACACTGTATTTTTTGTTACTGATATAATAACATTTAAAAATGAAATGATATTGAGGGTTTAGATTATAATTTCTATGTGTTGGCATGTTCTATATAATCATACATACCATGAAAACTAGAATGAGGCCCAATATTCCGATGTGATTCGACACCTGACAAGCTTCCAGTGTGGGAAACACGAAGGGAAGAACTCAAAAACGCGAAAACACGTCTTTTAGCGTCTACCTCTCGCTTGATGTTTCTTCTGTACAATTAAGGATATATACGACATTCGTATATGTAATTGAAAGAAAACATACTGTAAATGATTGGGATCATTTTATAAATGCTGATGAGAATTTATCCTTTTGTCGCCAGTGGAAACCTATATAACCGACGAACTCCAAAAGACCGAAAATAACGTGTTGAATACTCAGATACATAAACTATTTTCAAATGATTTTAGTCCAGAATCAAAACAATTTGTTATTTTACGTGCATGGAGTTACGCAGTCTTACATTGGACCTCGGATTTTCATGTCTACTCCAAAAGATTTATTGATTTAATAGAAATTTAAGTTGGCGCTTTCATCGCCTGGTACGTGAAACGGTGCGGATTTTCCGTGTTACGGTGCTGGAAGGCTGCACAATTGTCGAGACGAAACAGAAAGAAGACAGATTTGACACATCAAATTGACAAAAAAAATGTTGAAATTATCAAATGATTTTTATACATGCACTGTAATAAGCAAGTGTATTCGCTTCAATATAAGTGCCTCTTGTACGGAGACTGACTCAAATATTTACAACTTCTCTCGGTTCGAATTTCAGGTAAAGTATTTAGTTAATAATTCTTAAAAATCATAATTGAGCCACGCCATGACAAAACCAGCATTATGGGTTTGCGACCAGCATGGATCCAGACCAACCTGCACATCCGCGCAGTCTGACCAGGATCCTTGCTGTTCGCTTACAAACCCTATAACAAGTAGAGATACTGATAGCGAACAGCATGGATACTGATCAGACTGCGCGGATCATGGATTCGCGCGTGAAAACATATGATTCTGAAGGCGTGCTTCTTAAAGGAAAAAAAAACCAAACTATTATTTGCATGACAAGAATATATCCAATATCAATTATTCACGTAATTGTATGTAAATACAGAATAATAAGTGGCATTAGATAACAACAATGAGTAGGTTCGTGCATTGTTGGAACAATAACTTAAAATCTATAAATTATGTAATGTGAAATAGCAAGCCAACATAATTGTTTGTTTAAGTGGAACGAAAATGCAATGCCATTATTCCAGAAGCATTTTTATAGATGATATTACAATAATATCGACATAGACATATAATACAGTAATAATAAAAACTTGAAGCAAAAGCAATTTCCATTTAGATATTTCCAATTAAACAGTATCATACAAGCACAATGGTGTTTATTTTCTTGTACAAATATTTAAACGATTACAAATAAGAGAGAGTTATCCTGACCTTTTATCGCTCACCTAAATGAAGACTCTCCGATTTTATTCCGGCGAAAGCGAGCAAAACAATAATATTTTTGTTGACCTTGACCATTATAAAAATAACATTACCCACACTCTTGCACATAATGCTTATAGCCAGAGCATAAAAGAGCATAAAATGGATATAACGGGAAAAATATATAAAGGTAATAGGAGGAAAAATGGAAAATTCCATTACTGGCCTTTATCGTGACCTTGAACTTGACCCCGAGTACAAGGTGGCTATGTAACAAGATTCAGTAATCATTGGTTCTGTTAATGGCTAATAAGCATTACAACAGATGCCGACCTCTCAATCTATTGAGAGGTCGGCGGACATGATTTTAATTTGTTAGGCCATATCTTTATATCTTATACTGCATTGATGTAAATTCCTATTTTTCTTTCGTAAAATAAGTTTGTTTCCTTCTTCCAAGTCATCAGCATTTATTGCATAACGTGCATATACCATCAATGTAAGTTTCATGCAACAGGAATCATTTGATAATTATCTTTTCTTTGCGAACATGTGGCCAAATGAGCATAATTACCCGTGCATTATTTTAGGCACGAGCAGGCATCCGAGAAGAACCACCAACATTCCGTTAGCTTCCTGGATATCTTCCTCCCTAAGTCCCTGACAGGATTCGAACCTACAAAGGTGAGTGTCTCAAAAAAGATAAGTTAAGTTGATAAGGTTTTATATTGTTAACTTTTTTCTATCGCTATAGACAGTTTTACAATGTGTTTGGTTGTTATGCAAAATCGAATGGGAATAATATTATATTCGGCAATCTGCACAGACCAAAACCTCTGAAGTATATAAATGTTAACGTCCGTACATTATTTGAAATCAGTTTTGACAATTTAAACAATTTATAACAAGGCACTTTACTTGTATTCAAAGCTAGATATATTTTTTTCAGGATAATGATTATAAAAATAATCACAAAATCAAGCTTTTACGGAAGTTTATGCAATGTTTTTCAAACAAGACAGTTTTTATGTTTAAAGGTCTCTTTCACAGATGACACGATGTAGTTGTGTGCAGTCCAGATTTACCCACTTCAGGTGATATGGTAACGCGAACGCCATGCAGTTTTCGAGACTGCCTCTATTAGGCTCCCCTTCAACCCAATCAACAAACGGCATTTGAATACTAGTACCGTATGCGACCCAAGTGCCTTCAACCTCCTCGTCGGTAAACGCTGTATAAAATCCATAAACACCTGAAAAAATAACGAAAAGAAATGAAAAGAAAAAAAAAACGAAATGAAACGAACAATTATACTCTTATATAATAAGGCGATCGACTTATTTGAGGCAAAGCTCAAGTTTCATGTTCCAGTAAGGAATATACATATTCGATCCACGTATTAGATTATTTCTATAAACCAACTATTTCTATATTCATATACCAACTGACCATGATTTAAAGTAAAGAGTTAGAATAGAAAATTCATTACAAAGAATTTAGAAAAAAAAAACAATACGAGAGAGGGCCGTAGACATCCTGGGAGTTTGGCTTCCTAGCACGGGGGTTTCAGACTGTAATTGCACACTTTCAAACATACCTGGGTAAGATATTGAACGAATCATGGCCTTCAGATTGTCGTTTTCCTCTATGCTGTTAATTATGACAACGTGTGCATTTAACGACTGACATGTTTGCTGAAATTCGAAGAAAGTGGAAGTTATCAAAGTTGTGCAACTTAATTTGCCTAAATAACTTCCCACCCACGCAACCATCTCTATCTATGTAAATTTTTTCGCTTTCGTACAACAGTTTAACATGAAAATATGCGACGTATTCATTTCATTTAAGTTCAGGCAATTCAAAATAAGGAAATATAAATATATGAACATCTTTTTTTTGTTATTTTTTATCATTTCATTAATGCTAAAAAGACAATTATTTAAGTCAATGAAAACTTTCAATCATTAAGTGATTGTAATTGACAATAATTTGAAAAAATTATGCATACCACTCCTGACTGAAAATTCATCATTTCGTTTGTTATATTATAACAAGAACTTCCAAGTTCTGTCCAGCCATCAGGACAAACTGAAATTTAAAAAAAGAATGCAATTGTATGCTCCAAATATAGAACAGGACGAACCATCTGAAGGTAATATGAAAGGGCCTTTCGGGAAAACTGACACGGTGTGTACCAGGGTTGTACGATCTGTAACTTGTGTTGTCCCAGAGCTATGTAGGAGCACATTTGTCTCGGAGCACATTTGTCTTACGTAAGACCGATGCGGTCGCATTTGTCCCACATGAGACAAATGGGACCTCAAATGTCTACCCCAAAAAACACATTTGTGTGACAAATGTGCTCCGATCAAGTTTTTTAAGGGACAAGAAAGCACATATGTCTCACGTGCTTTAAGGGTCAAGAAAGCACATTTGTCTCATATCATTTCTTATGAATTATTTGTCACATATTTTACCACGGGATATTTTTTTTAGAAGCGAGGTATGCCGTTTTATCTTATGTCAACATTTTATCATCAATAGGTCTGCTTGAGTTTTTTTTATGAAACATTTAACTTAATTACAACAGTGGAACTATTAATTCTAATATCTCTAATTCAAGAAATTTGATTGGCTGAACTTGAAGGCGTTCACTTAAACATACAAAATTCCGTTAACGATGGTACAATGGTGAAAGCAGATGGTACGAAGATGAAAACGCAATGGTCAGATGGTGAAAACACGATGTACGAACGTGAAACAACGATAGAAAGGACTAGGAATGATGATAAAACGCAATGGTCAGATGGTGAAAACACGATGTACGAACGTGAAACAACGATAGAAAGGACTAGGCATGATGATGGTACGATAGTGAAAACACGATGGTACAATGATGAAACTGCGATGGCATGATGATGAAAACGCGATATTATTTTCACCATCTTGTAATCGCATAATCGTGATTTCACCATCGTGCCATCATCGCCCTTTCACCATTATACCATTGTGAATCACGGTTCAGGGAGACAATAAATGTTATTTATGTCCAAACGGAACACCGTAATCGGGCGATATTTTAAAAATACAAAATCGTAACCAGTTTCGCATCTCGCCGGAATATCACATCTTCCTTCGTATCTCGACATCTTTGTGAGACAAGAAAATCTTTTGAGGCCATATACCGATAACAGTATTCTCCCGATATTTCTATATAAAAGTGACATTTTTTAAAGAGCTATAAACAGCAACAGACATAAAAAGCAAGACCTATTTTGGAGAACAAACCCTTATCTTATTTTAAAGAGTTACGACAAAACTGATATAGTAGGGGTCATGTATCTTTTAAGACACATTCGCTACTGTAAAATCACTGCTGTGACGTGGAATACCAGATACACGTATAATTAAAAGTTGAAATTAAATTTAAACGTGCCATGCACATTGAAAAAAAATAGTGTCAAATAACATGTCCGAGGTCAGATGTCTGACGTGCTGGTTTCTTTGCCAAAAACAGGCCTTTGAGAAGTACAGACACGAAGCGTTGCATATTTTACCGGGAGATACAAAAAGCAAAGTCCCGGCAAAACATTGAGCGAGGCTTAATATTCTACCGCGAAATCTCGTGGTAGAGGATACTTCGACATGCGAGATATTGTGTTACAATATTGTGCCTCGCTTCGTCTCTCACCGGAATGTCGCGTCTCGTCCAATTCTGCGAGGCCCGATAGTGGCTTAATTTTCTTCATTTGATCATTTAGGGGCCTTCGTGGCCGATTGATTATAAAAAAACACATGCCCCTAATAGCTGTAGGTTCGACACTTATTCGGGCGACGAATTATATATGCGAGGAAGCCCGTCCAGGGTCCAGATGCGGAATAGTCATCGCATGTGCACTTAATAGATTAGAAAATCCTATGTCATCTTTATGCCACCGCAGATAATACCTTGTTGTTGCTTTATAAAACTTTAAGTATCAGAAAGAAATGTGTCACAATTAATAACGATAAGAATTGATTCGCTGCATGCGTTTTGGTTCTGGATACTGCATTGGTAGAAAATTTCATTGTTACATGCAGAACAGGGATATTCTTAAGGTTAATATATGCATCCTATGGAGGGGCATAAAGTTTTTTATTGACCGAAAGTGACCTAAAAACGGTATAGTAAATACAGAAAACACAAAACATTGGATGGTAACCGGTATACGGACGAGTACAATCATAACTTGTTTTTAGAATTTTATGGAAGAATGTGAGACAAATGTGCTTCGAGTGTCCTTTCTATTGTGTGTCGAACACATCTGTCTCATTTCCAATTTGTCGCAAATGTGAATGTTTACGAGCACATCGGTCACACCTCGTGAGACAAATGTGATCCGAGACAAATGTGCTCCTACAGAGCTATGTTTAGATGGAGAAGAAGTTATGACGTCAAACATTTAAAACCTGTTTCACGCAAGTTCACATTTTCATGAGGTTCTCTTGTTTCATTGTTGTTCTTATAGAAGTATTAGATATTATGTGAAATGTCACAAATAAGGGAGTGAAAATATCGAATGTAATGTATTGTGATTCTTAAAGATGCCTCAGATATATCTTATATGTTGTAAGTTGTTGCCAGATATTTTGTGAAATATCTCAGTACATATTTTTGTTAAGAACTTTCATATATTTTGTAAAATATCATCCTTATAAATGTTGTTGATATATTTAAGTTGTCAAACTTCAATACATGTCAAATATTTTGTGTCGGATATTTTGAAATTATAGCGCTAGATGTTCTTTTATTGTTAAGACTTAAAACACTCTCGGATATTTTGTGTCGGATATATTGGACTGTGTAAGATCTTTTTATTGTTAAGTCTTACTGTAGAGCGATGTCTGATATATTTTGTGTCGGATATATTGGACTGTAAGTGTTAGATCTTTTTATTGTTAAGTTTTAGAGCGATGTCGGATATTTTGTTAAAAAAAATTCTTGTGAAATACAATACTGGTGAATTTTAATACCTGTGAAATCTAATGCCTTTGAAAAAAAGCGATTATGTAATGTTTTTCAGATATTTTTTTTTTACATTTAAAACTTACAGTAATGACTTGTCCAGTGGTATGAGGGTGGTGACGGATTTATTTTGGTGACTTGAAACTGTTTTCTTATAAAAAAAATAAAAGAAGTAAAAATAATTATTTGATCGTAAACTATAAATTTTAAGGATAAGAATTTTTTTTAAGATTTCCGGAACTGAGGTAAAACTTACCGCTCGAGCTGCTGTAAAGGTAGTAGAGAGATCCTGGTATTTGACCTGCTGGGTAGTTAAGAAAATCATAGCTCACAGTGCATCCCGTACACGTCTTAGTCCCCGGCACATAAAATAAGCTCTCGCACGTGATATGATTTACACACCTGAGAATACAATGTATTCCACTTTGCACTGTTTCACTGTAAGCAATTTCTACATCTTGGCATACTTTCCCGTTAAGTGACGTCAACGCACGCAATGACGTCCACGTCGAAGTTTGAATTCCAATAACTTGACGAGTAATGAAAAGAAACATCAAAGCTAAGACTATCTTATCCATGTTACGAAAAAATATATGTTCTTTTATATCAATGAATTTATTCACAATTTAAAAATCTTCTGAATAAAGGTTATATATGTAATGTTGTGAAAGCTGGCAGCAGCTCGGAGCAGAGCAAATTATATGATAATTGCTGCTTATTTAAATCTATAAACAAGACCTTAAAGTTAATGTCCCGATTGATTTTCAGACAAAAACCTTTCAATTTGTTAATTAATTAATATTTTAATTATTTTTATTGTTAAATGAAAACGTGGGCTAATTGCTTTTTAGATTAGGAAAATCATTCTTTTTATTTGAATAAAAAATGTATGCCTTTCAGGCTCAAAGGGCTTTTTTAATTTGATTCTTCAGGAAATAACTCCATATAATGACGTTCATTGAATATATACGATATCGTAATGATTTTCTAGAGTCATGCTTTTGTTGTCATTGTTTTTTGTCTCACAAATGTTGACAAGTAAAACAATGGTAGTATTGTTAAACCTTTTAAATGTAGTATTGTTATTCCTAAATGTACCAACTGTTTTGTTAATGCCATACATCAAACAACTCTTTGTGATGTTTTGATTTTATATGGAACTTCATGTGGAATGTCCTGTAGATTATTGGCCTTCAACGGTTGCATGGGTGGGGAGAGGGAGGCAGGGTAGAAGTGTGGTAAGTGCGGGTGCATTCCGTCGGTCTCGGTACTGTGGGGTAACAATAATATTTTTTCTTAAATAAAGCAAAGTTTATGTCTCATCAATTCGGTTGTTTGTATATATAACTCGATTAGATTGGTTAACTTATATTACAAATTGTGTGCGGATTACAAGTAGAACATATTATTCAGATTATGAACACATATTAAACATATTCATACCGACAATGACCTACAGTCTTATCAGTGATAGAATAAATGTTAACATATACATTACATCAGTAGATAGATATAAACTGTGACACATAAAGAAATGACAAAAATATTTTTCATTGGAATATTATTCGTCAGTGTAAATCTAAGTGAATATTCGGATATATTTTATTTCTTTTGTAGTGTTTTGTATGCACATTTTTTAGATTGCAAAATATGCAGCTATACTATGCTCAAATTTGACATTTGGAAAAAATTGATAAATGATCCGCAGTATGTTTGTTAATATAAGATAAACATGATTTGACTTTACACAAGGTAGATTATGTTATGTTTAAAATTCTACACACAATCGGTGGTCGCAATATTGATACACAGTGTCATTAAAAAAATTGGCAGTTTTATTTAAAGAAAAGACCAACAATATCTGACCTGTCACAGGGAACACAGCTTCCCATATTTATTCCTTTATTCATATTAGACATACTCAGTAAGAATTTCATAGATTTCAATAAATGAGCCACGTCACGACAAAACAAACATAGTGCGTTTGCGACCAGCATGGATCCAGACCAGCTTGCGCATCCCCGCAGTCTTATCAGGATCCATGCTGTTCGCTATCAGTTTCTCTACTTGTAATAGGGTTGGTAAGCGAACAGCATGGATCCTGATCAGACTGCGCGGATGCGCAGGCTGGTCTGGATCCATGCTGGTCGCAAACCCATTTTGTTGGTTTTGTCATGACGCGGCTCAAATGTCTTTGCATAGTATATCTTTACATATTTCATGAGATTTAATCAACATCCGATAAGTTCTAGTCAAGACACACTGAATGGCACTGTTAATTAAATAACACTGTCATGTTAAATAAATCAATGTTATTTAATAATTATTGAAATTATTATTGACATCTAGGTGGCAGCACTAAATGTTTTCTATGTGACCACGTGCAATACCCATATGCTTGTGAGACGGTGACGACTTGCGGTCCAGATGAGGTAGGAACTCTTTTTTTTGATTGGCTTAAAGTCATGCATGCGCATTGGGATCAAGAGAACGCAGGTTCAAATCTTATCGGTGACACTGTTAATTTCCCTGCGCATGAAATTGACTCTGCGTTGCTTAACTTCGCCAAGTTATCAAAGTTGGGCTATAAGTTTGGCTGTCATGGGCGGAGTGGAAGAATCCCTGGGATGTCGATATATCAATTATAGTAGCCTAACGATTTGGGGTAAAACTGTAAAGTCAGTCATCATATCACGTGCATATACTTACACCCTCGTTAACAGATTGTACGGCTAATTAAAAAAACCTTGGGTGTCATTCTCTCAATTTGTACAGGAACAATCGGGCACATGAGCTAGCAAACAATGAAGCCTCCTGAGCTGTATGCAAACTCAGTGTGGCGAGCGGCAAGCGTCTAAGTTCCGCGACTATATTTACTTGACCCCGGACGTCCGAAGCTCGTATGAATCGTATCATTCAAGTGCTTCCCGTTGTTTAAAGTAATTAACGGCAAAAAAGTGTTAACATTATCTATAATGCACTGGCGCGAAACATCTGCTTATATTCCAAATTGATAAGAAATCTATACCGTTGACGAGGTGGGACAGAGTCCTACTCATCTCCCGGATGTGGTTTATAAAAACTTTCAAAACTTGTTCACTACCAACCTTGAATCAATATGTTAAAATCAAACTATGCGTCAAAAGAATAAAAGCAACAAAAAAGATTGTCATAGATATCTTCTTGACTGTAGTTTTTAAAAAGTGATGTCATAAAAATACATTTCAGATATGTTTTATACAAGAAGTGGTTACACAAACGGGAAATGTTGCTTTTAACTCGGGATGTATGCCAAATACGGTGAGTTCACTTTGGATCTAAGAACACCGTTGCATTATTTATTAATATGTACAGTATATAATTATATTCTTGTTCGAGTGTTGATTGTTGTTTAATAACGTATAGACACACCCTTAACATCCTTAAAAAATTGCAGTCAGAGAAATCCAAGATGGTAATTCTAGAGTAAATGACTAAAATATACAATTCTTTGGTGCACATGCTGATTTGTGCAATGTCGTATTTTTGCTTATCTTTTTTTATCATGCCTTATTTGTAAAAAGCTATTGATAAGATCACTAATACAATGATAACGATACATAACGTGTAAGCCATTTTGCAGACTTTTGAATCCAGTAATAAAGCTTAATTTTTTTTGACTGAACCAATGGTCATTGAAATAGTAAACGTATGTTTTCTTAACCTCAATTTAGTTTAAAATTATTTACATGATTTACATGTTGAGATTTTTAATTCAGGCTTAATAATCGAATAGTCAATACAACTACGTTTGCTTATGTATTTTTATATAGAAGTAAAATGTATGTTGTTTATTCATAGCTTAATATAATAATATAATTGTAAACAGTCATGTTTTACTCTCCAAAGATGGAGGAAATAAAAGTATCTATTTATCCATGCACGTGTGATACAAAAATAAATGCTATTGAAAATAATTACGAAATTGACAATATACATGATCTATGTAGCTAAACAATGGCATTAATGACACCTTTTAGTAAATTTTATGACCAAAACTGACTTACCGCTTATGGCGTTCTTTGATGAAACATTTTCCTCCATTTTAATTCTTATTGAATAACTATTATTATTATGATGATGATTATTATAATTATAATTATCATGATGATGATGATGATTATTATTATTATTATTATTATTATAATTATTATTATTATTATCATTATTATTATTATCATTATTATTATTATTATTATTATTATTATTATTATTATTTATCAGAGATGCACCAATGCGTCAGTGACTTATGTCGGAAAAAGATCAGGACATTCGGTGCGTGATAGTTACGACGACATTACAGCGTGCACAGAATGTTGCCAAGGGGACTACTGCAATATGAAGGGATGCAATGCACCCGGTAAGTAATGTACGACAAATTAAAAGTTACGAGATTAACCCTGGTGCAATAGATTCTTAATAGTGTAAAGAAAATAAAAATAAAGTTTCCTTTTAAAAGGAAAGGCTTGCACAGTTGTGTGCCAACCCTTTAAAATTGTGTGTTTTTTTTTTGTTTCAATTTATTATCACATTTTTTTAATTACGGTATTTGTATATCATAAAGGGTTTATTTAGTTGGGTTTTTTTTTTGGAAAACCGATATTTTTTGTCAAAACGATTTGAAATCTATTCTCTATTGTATAAAACTAGATAAATAAAGAAAATGATCAATCGTAAAAATACTAACGTGATACTGAAGGAAAACAACTGTGCACATTTCATTTCCCCTTTTTCGCAGCGAAATCATTCCTTTGCTTTATAGACAAGACTAGTAAATGCACTTACGTGGTACCAATTAATAAGCATGTATCAACTATGTTACACGATCACAAATAGACGATATCAGAACCAAACTCCTCACAGCTGTTACGTCACGTTTTGCTACTTTAACTGTACAGACTAGGGGAAGTAACCGCTGCGAGGAGTTTGGATCAGCACGTGATATGCATGGGCTATTTTTAGATTACCTCACCAAGAAGTTCAGTAGATCTAAATATAACTCGATCACGCGTGATTTGGTGAGCAGGACCACCCTTTGAAGACTGAATACTACTACACAGTACAGCGTATAAAACTAATACAGACAAAAAACAATTATAAAAGAAACTAACTTTTGCGTGTTGAAAAACAATTGAAACGGAACAATTTCATTTATAATTTATTACGGTTTAAACCGATAAATCAAGTAAAAATAGAAATCCTATTTATATAAACAAACTGGGATTACCGAAGTAACTAAAATAGCTTAGATTTCCGTAATATTACTTCATCTGATTCCGCAGTATGACGGAATCGCCCGAATTGTCACGATTGCAATCGGAACTACATCGGCTATTATCATTAATCCGAAGAGTGACGGAAAAGGCCGAAAAGTTGCGATTGGCACGATTGCGGCTGGTTTCCGGTTCAACCATGCACCAACAGATGTAAGCAGGAAACCACCTAACCGGAACAAGTTTTCCATATGAAATGGCTTGCAGCCGTGGCTGCAAGCCAAAAACCTTTGGTATATGTCTGTTTTTGTCTCATTTTTTGTTCAATTTTTATAATTTATTGTTAGAAAATTTAATTATCAATTTCATTTTAAGTAATTTTGGATATTGATCTACCTAGAATGCCCATTCATTTAGAATCGTCTGATTCTTAGGATTGTGTTTAAAAATATTGTAAATTTGACGGAGGCAGCCATTTTGGTTGTTGTTGTTAACTGTCGCAGAAATATTTACAATCCTGTGATATTTACTAAGATAAGGTTTTAGGGACATATTCAAGAACCAGTATGTTTTCGAACTTTTCTCTCTAGCATAAGACTTAAGTACATAGCATATGTAATGAAATTGTGATTTCAAAAATTATTTCAGTCAGAAACAATGATATTTATTTACCGTTCTATCTGAAAAACAGCTACACTTTGAATAGTTTTTCCATGATTATATTATATCTATTATAATACCCCACGGTTGTAACGTCGCATTTCATTGGATAATCGCGACGTTTACATAGTTAAATATATTCATTTCATGCTTTCCAGTGTTTTATTGTAATATATCAGATGATTATATTCTGATAAACCACTAGTGAAATTTATAAAATATAATTTTCACTGTAGCCGGACTATATCTGAATGCGGATGAAAAGAAAATCAAAACTGAATGGAATAACAGGCAAAAATAAATGCCGTCATGCGTAAATTTTACTTCTTTCGGAAAAGAAAGTCGATGTCACCATACATTATGTTAAAAATGTAACAACATTAGAGAAATTTAACAGAACTTTATTTCAAACTTGTTGATGTGACGTCAAAATGTAATGACGTCACAAAGGAGAATGCGCGACGTTACGCGGCAAAATCAATAAAAATTACTTAAATTACTTAAAACGCATGAAATAAAAAGAAAATTTATTTGTTTTGCATGTAAGATTGAAATATAATTTCACTGAGTGAACACCAGATGCAATATTTTCACGAGTGGCGTAGCACTCTTGTGCAATCTTGGCAATCTTATTTTCTTTTCATATTTAGTTAAATATATATGTGCACGGCTTCTGTTAATTTTAGAAGAAATCTCACTTTTATACTTGCTGTACTATAAATTTGTTATAAATAATTCTGACAGTTTATTTAGCTGTACATAAATGGTTGGTTTCGTTAAAACACTCGCCTAGCGGCTCGGGTTATATTTTCAAACAACCGTTTATATATTGCCATATAAACTGCCAAAGATCTTTATACCTGATAATGGTTCTCTAATGATTTGTATTTCTGAGCTGTGTCCACAAATAATTCATTTTACCAAATTTAGCTAGATTTATTGTTAATAAACATTATGTAGATTTTAATTTACTACAGCTTTATCAGAGACCTTATATATGTCGCACTTCCCGCCAATATCGCACTTATTGCCGAATGTCGCACTTGCCGCGAAATGTCGCATTTGCCGTTTCATTGCGAGCTGTTGACGCTAGATGTCGCAACCGCCGCAAAATGTCTCAATTTTTTTTCACGTTAAATGCCGCAATGATGACGTTAAATTTTTACTATTTTCCATTAATAGACAGTTTACCATTGATAGACAGTTAAAAAATGGAAGCATGAAAAGTGCATTTTACATATTCAGCAGTTTAAGAGGCTTGCAAATATATAGTAACATAGGTTTTAAATGTAATTTAATACCACTTGCTTAATTTTATCATGAATATACATCTTGCGCAATTAAACGGTAGTGTTGCGATATTTAACGACAAGGGAAAATCGTACGACATTAACGTTAACTATTTTTTGAATCAAATAAAAGTTTTATTTAGTTTAATTAACTTATGTTGAAACACTTTGACATAGATCTACCGCTTCCAAAATTGAACAATTTCACAAAATCGTGCTTCTCAAATGATAAAATAAAAAGAGATTTTAGACTGTAATTGCCAATACATGTATTTTATTTTTAACACAATAGTGTTTGTGTTTTTTACATTCTAATTCTCCTTTTAAAATGATTTATGATTCAGAAATCCCGACAGATCAGCGTGGACTCTACTGTTTTGCGTGCGATAATGGAAACCCTGAAAACTGTACTAATGTTAACATGTGCCAGAAAGGGGAGGTAATCTTAAGTTTTTTTTCTGTTTGTTTGATTGGATTTTACGTCACACCGACACAGTATATAGTGCTGCAAATTTGTTAAGCTTAGGAACACCTAACTGGTCCCCGATCATAAACAGGGGGTTTCATATACCAAAATGTTCGGTTGAGTCTCTAGATTACGAAATTGAATTTCATTTCCCCCGAAAGTGCTGGCGGACTAAGAAATTCAAGATGGCGTCCAAGATGGCCGCCAAAAATATGAAAATTATAATTTACTTTATATTACTTGAATTTTGGCAGTTAAAACTTAGCAATAAGTTCTTTCATTTCGTTCTTGTATTAATTGTGTTCCTTAAATGCAGTTTTAATATGTATTTTAAGGTAATTATATTTTTTGATGATAAAAACAAAAAATAATTACGAAAAATATACGGGAAAAAATGTGATTTTAAAAATACTTGATACAATTTCTTATTTTTTTCTCTCTTTTTAATAAAAAATTAATTATAATGACTGATTTAAAAAAAACAACATGTTAAGCTCGACTTTTAAAAAAAATATAATAAAAATAGATAAAATAAAAAAAATAATTAAAAGAATAGAGGTATTGTTACAGTCATGTCGGTGTTGACGTTTCCGTCAGCAAACTTTAACTGTGATAATTACTTTTAATCTTCTTTATGTTTTGTCTTCATACTTGGCCACAACAACCTTGGGGCAAGATCTTTAAGTAGACAAGACTAAATTTGACCTTCATTCATAAATGACCTTGACCTCCAAGGTCAAATGTCTAAATTTTGCTTATTTTTTTCTGATTTTTGCTATTAAATAACTTTGTTATTTTCTAATGGATTGTCTTCAAACTTGAACATAATAATATTTTTAGGATTGACCTTCGAGTTAACCAGACAGACCTTGATCTTCACTCATAAATAACATTGACCTTGAAGGTCAAATTATAGAAAATTTATTTATTTTTGTGTGTGTGTGTGGGGGGGGGGCTGTAACTGGCTATAACTTTGTTAATGATAAATGGATTCACTTCATATTATAACACAACATTCTTTAGGATATGACTTTCATGTATAAATTTAAATTGACCTTGGCTTTTTATGACATTGACCTTGAAGGTAAAATAAATGAATTTCCACTGATATTTGCTACAATTGGCTGTGTCATGGTAATTAATTTATGGATTATCTTCATACATTGACAAAACAACACTTTGGACAAGACACACTATCCCCAAAAAATGTAATTAAATGAAATAAAAGGTGGAACTGACTTTGAACTTGAACTTTAAATAATCTTGACTGTGAAAGTAAAATTTTTAAATTGTCATAATTTTGTTATTTATGTACGGATTTCATTTATACACAACTTGTTACCAATATATATATTTAATAATTAAAAGTTGGTCTTGACCTTAAGTTGAACATGACTGTTAATGTCAAATTAATGAAATTCTCTTGTTTCATTTTTGTTTTTTTTAACTGGCTATAACTTTGTTATCTATAAATTGATAACCTTTATTTCCAGACATTTTAGGTCAGGACCTTTATGTATATTAAATTAAAATTTACTTTAACTCATGAATGACCTTGACCTTGAAGAAAATTTATTGAATGTTAACAGATTATCAAAAAATTGGCTGTAACTTGGTAATTAATCAATGGCTTATTTCATACTTGGACAAAACAACCTTTTGGACAAGACCTTCTAAAAGGTTGAACTAACTTTAACCTTTAAATTACCTTGACCATCATGGTCAAAGTACAGTGTATTAAATTTTGGCGGTGAATTAAATTTTCATTTAATTACATTTTTTAGATAGTGTGTATTTTTAAGTGGGGTATGGGGAATGATTAATTTATTTAAATTTCAAAATACTGCAAGTATCCTAATATAACCTTTTTTGACAACTTAAAAGACTTACATCTTTTTTTTTTTCAGAGTAATTGCTGTATAGACAATGCACTAATTGTGAAGTATGAGAATATAAGTATAATTTCAATTTTAAAATGCTTAAAATTTAAACAGCAAATCTGTTTACACGTTCCTTATTTCTTTTCCCTTCTTCATGAACTTTTACACATATCTTTCTAACATATACAGTTAGTAAATTTTAGAACCAATATTTAGTTTGTTTGTTTGATTGGGTTTTACGTCACAGGTTATATGGCGATGTCCAACTTTACTGTAAGATATTGACCTCAGGTGCCCTTCCGTGCATTATTTCAGGCACGAACGGGCATCTGAGTATAACCACCCACGCACGCTGCGTAAGCTAGCTGGATAGCTTCCTCACATGAAAGAATCCAAAGTCCCTGTCGGGATTTGAACCCACAGCGGTGAGGAACAAAAATTTTGAAAGCCACGACCACTCGGCCACGGACGCCCCACCCGAATATTAAGATTTTAGCTTTTCTTTTCATATGTTATACACAAAATTGTCTATCAATATTTTTTACTGAATGAGTGGGATAGAAAATACTATATTTTGCGATGTTGCAAATTTATAAGTTTCGAAAATGCAATAAAATCAAAATTTTAATATGTTGAAATGATTAAGAACTGTAATAAAATAGTAAAGAATGAATTGACATTAATTTCCAAGAAAAGTTAATTATTGAGGTTAACTATTTAAAATATGATAGAATATATTATATCTATGGAAGAAAGACCTGTTTGCTGTTCAGATCGGAATATCTGTCTCTCTGAAACCGCCCATGAGCTACCCAGCAACTCTGTGGACTTTCTTAGGTAACCTTAGGACGGATATTACAGTCCGAACTGCTGCATGTTACAGATATCATCATTCTGTAATGCACTTGCTGTGCTTACTTTTATATAACAATTGTTGGTCATTGTCGAAATATGAAAAATATAGTATTAATTTTAAATATAGATTTCGCTCTTTGAGCACAATGATTACTTATAGCAGACATGCATAAAGGGATACAATTTTTTGTGGATTAAATTAAATTAATATCCATTGAGTTAAATCTTAAAGGCCCATTATGCCTCAGAAATGATTTCATTTTTATTTCTCAAAAAGCTTTTTCATCTTGGCTTTCTTTTATAGTATCCAAATAGTTACTCATTGGCTAATTACCAGAACTATCTTTTTCATCTCTTTCTTTTTGGCAATAAGTACAGTTATAGTATTCTGTATAGAAGTCAAAATACTACTTTGTTTACCTTTTGCTACTTTTATGACAAATTATTCTACATTTAGTGCTACTTTCGTAGGATAACAAGTACCAAACATTCTCTAAAACCATTATTCCAACATTATAAAATTTATGTTTGCCCTTTCTAAAGAAGTAAAAAGATATTTGTTTCCGAGGCCTTTAATTAATGAGTAATGAAGGAAACTATTGGTTACTGTATTTACCAGTTCGACTTTTTTGAAAAGTTTCTAGTGATGCTTTTTTTTGTTAATGTATTTTCCTAAAGTTTGCTTTATGTGAAATTATTTTACATCTACGTTTCTAAAATGTCTTCAGATCAGTTTTGTTCAACATGCAGGCTATAATTTATCTATTACTCCCCTGCAGCTTAGGGAAAGGGTTTGTTTGCAGGAATCTGTTTGCATAATATTCATGTCCGCTCTACTACGTTCAAGCTGCTAATAAGTATTAAAAAGATGGCCATTATGGTCCTGTACTTGAGAAATATTACTGGAAAAGGTCACAATTCTGAGATTCAAAAGTCAGTAATAAGGCCACATTCGGTTGTCATTTTTTAAGAGGTCAAACATTTGTATTATGACCACTAAGCAATAATACATGCCAAATATCAAAGCCTTGGGCATTGTAATTTTACATAAAAAGCTTAAAATACATGTATGTTTTACATGTACTATGTAAGTCTGCTAAAACTTAATGACCTTTATTAAGAGTGGACTTTTGACTCCAAGTGCATGCCTGATGTTTCTTTCAAAAGGACTCTACAAAAATAATATAAACCATGGCTGTGGGGTCAAAACTAGCCCTACCCTGGGGTCACTTAGTTTATATTGACTTGGATATTGGAAAATACATTTAAGTCTTAGTTATGAAATTATGAAACTACAATGCTACAGGCTACAAATATTCTTTTTTAAATCAGCTAGGGTAAAAAATGACAAACCCAATGTAACCTCATTACTGACTTTAAATCATCACTGAAAATTTAAAATTTGGACCTTTTCTGGCAGAATATATCAGGTGAGGGAGCCAGGACCATCAGGCCCTCTTGTTTTCCTATTTTTACATGGAAAATACTTATTTCATACAAGTGACAATATAACTGCATTTTGAAACATATTTGATAAAATGATGCAATGAAATTTCAAACATTAATTTCTTTAAATTTTGTTTATCTTTAAATATTGCAAATTCCCAACAGTATTAAATACATTTGCTATGTACCCCCATCCACTCAGTTACATACTTAAATGACAATTAAAGTAGAACACGTTTTGGAAAGAAAAACAAATTCTCAATGTTTTATTTACTGATAAAATATGCCAGAAAGAATTTATATGTATAAAATATTTTGAGGGAAAAGAAAGAAAGTGCAAAAATTGACTGTTAAAACATTAAGTCACAGGTTTTAAATTGAAAAAAAAAACATGTATTTTCCTCATATTTCACAACTAGGGCATTGTCTATTGAGCAATGACTCTGAAATATGTAATAAGGAGTAGATTCAAGTCTTTTAGACAGCCAATATAAAGTAATCTGAAGTATTTTTTAAATTTTAATAAAATTACCATTTTACCCAACCCACTTAAAAACACATTATCTTAAAAATTATACTAAAATGATAAGTTTCATTGGCACATTTTGTTTGTAAAAATAGTTGTTTCCTGTAAATCAGTCATAAGGAAACAAATCATTATTGAATTGCAAGAAAAAAAAGGAAGAAAATGTAAAGCACATATTTAAAAAAAACAGCAATTTTTAGAAATATTTAGCCTTAATTATCGGTTTTTATCATAAAAATTCTACTAACATTATTAATAGATACTAAAACTAAATTTAATAAATATATTTAATATCAAAATGTTTAAAAAACAACTTTTTTTAAAAGTTAATGCTTGCAAATTTAAGTAATAAATAATAAATGATTATTTTCATATTTTTGGCGGCCATCTTGGACGCCATCTTGGATTTCTTAGTCCGCCAGCACTTATGGCAAAAATGAAATCCTATTTCGTAATCTAGGGACCCAACCGAACATTTTGGTATATGAAATCCCCTGTTTATGATCGGGGACCAGTTACTCCCCTAAATAAGCGAGTTATTTGAGTCTATTTGCAGCACTAATAAGTCATATGACGTCCCTGCCGGGAATCCAACCCACAGGGGTGAGGTGCAAGTAGTCTGAAGTCAATGACTTTAACCATTCGCCACGGACGCCCCTAATCTTAGTTAAATCTTAACACATACTGATAATTTTAACACAATTAATTTTTTAAAATCAATTTCCGATACTTATCTTTCTTTATTAAAAAATATTTGTATAGTTATTATCCTGAACTCAGCACACATGAGGTTTCCCATCTCGAGCTACACACGTTATGGTTTCATGGTAACGCGTTGTGCTTATTATCGAAATTTTTACTTAATTTTTTTTGTAAAAGTTTATTTGTACACGGGTGGGGGAGGGGAGAGGGGAACATAATTTTCGATTTCCAGAGCATCTCTGAATAGGGAGAAAGGCTATTAGTACTTTGGTGGTTTAATGTTTGTTTTAGGCGCAATGCATTGTGATATTATAATTAAATGTCATAAAATTAATAAGAATAATGTTCAAATAAGTGTCATTGGGTATTTTTAAAGGGGGCTTTATTGCTAGAAATGTTGCTAATATGTCTTGTGAAAGTCACAAATGCCAGATGAATAAAATGATTGATATTAAAGTTAATGTGATTGATATTAAAGTTAATGTGATTGATATTAAAGTAAATGTGGTTTATATTCAAATATATATGATTGATATTAAAGTTAATGTGATTGATATTAAAGTTAATGTGATTGATATTCAATTGATATGATTGATATTAAAGTTAATGTGATTGATATTCAAATTTATATGATTGATATTAAAGTTAATGTGATTAATATTCAAATTAATATGACTGATATTTATCAAATATTTACTTCCAGCTTTGTTTTCTGTACACGTCTGTGGGTAAGACATACAAAAGTCAATGTCAAACGCAAGCGGTAAAAAAGTATTATTTACATACATTAAAAAAAAAAGATTACTGAAATAATTTCAAAACACAAGAGTTATTCAGATAATAACAAACTGACAGAAAGGCGCAACAACCAGTCTTGATACATACATGTTTTAATTAAATAATTGCGTAAATGTTTAACGTAACATTTGATAAACACTGGTATCGATTGATGATGAGAAAATCAATATGACTTTATCGTATACCATTCATGACGACACGAAATGGCAGATTTCAGCCACCATTAAGACAGTTGAGATATCAGTATCAGTCCTAAAGTGTTGAAATTTTCATATGATATGATATTCCAATTGTTTTATTTTAACTAAACCCCAAAATTTTGCACGCCTGCTAAAAATGTGACGGTGTGTGAAAAATCAATATTGCAAAATGATGATATAATTGGTAATTATTATAATACAGCGTATGCCCAACTTGACTTTGATGACAACCTGACAGCAAGGTCGCATGTGTTTGATATTACGATCTTAAAATAAATAAAGGGGCAGATTTTGTCGTCCTTAAACAATATTCGCATATATCTCGATAAACGGTCAGAAAGATAAAGTTCTGTCAAAAACGTCTTTTGACATGTCAGTTATACGGCAACCCTCAAACTGAAGTGTTGCCCATGTCAAAAAGCAACATAGGATTGCGGTTTATACAGGTACATGGTGAGGGTTACACTACTATTTCTGAACATTTATAAATAAAACAGCATCAACGTGATGAACATAGTCCCTAAGGCGTCTTCAGATTTAACTTTGAAAAGTTATATACGGGATGAATGGAACTGCCTCGTAAGAAATTCTGATTGTTCAAGAGTGAAAAAGCTACCCTCCCCAAAATCCCATCCATTCAACGATATTGCCAGGTTGTAACCAACAATCAGGGTGAGCATACACAATATTTGAATATTTATTTCTGACATTGTCATTATGGTATTGACATTTTAGCAACAGCACATTTACAGGGCATACGTATTAAAATTGTGTTTTAGCTATGAAATCAAATAATAGGAATATTTAACCATGTCTCAATTGTATTATTTATGGTGGCTGATTTCTGCCATTTCGTGTCTTCGTGTTTTCGCTCTTCAAATGCCGAAGGCGAAGACATAATAGTATGCTTACTTAACGTGTCTTCGCCTTCGAGTTTTGAGGGCGCCGACACGGAGAAACCATATATTTAAGGCGAAGTAACGATATTTTAATACGTTAAGAACACGAGATCTTCTTCTGCAGAATTATCACGTCGGCGGGTCGGCCAATTTATCGTGTCTTCAACTTTTGGGGCGAAGCCACGACGACACGACAAACATAGGGTGACGATACGAAGATTTCTACCCGCCGACACGATAGTTCTGATTAAAAATATTCGATAATTCGATAACGATTATAGAACATTTCAGTATGATCGAACCAACAGTGAGCAATATATGAGGCCACATTTACTAGCTCACAGAGACCATTTTATAAGTATATAATATTATGGATCTATGACATACGGACATGAATTTTTATATGAATTGTTTGTTTTTCTTTCAGCTTTGTGATTTATTATCACATGGATTAAGTAAGATATGTGATCCTGTATGTTGTAAGACGGATTTCTGTAACGACCAGTGCCGCCATGCTTAATTACACATGGTAAAAAACCAGGACACAGACAGACACATGGTTTTTCGATTATTGTGTACTTGGCTTTAAAAATGATGGTTATAAATTTCTAAACATGTATGTGTTAGGCTTTTTAGGTTAATGCCATGTCCCTCACATTGCCGTAAAGTGAACTCTCTAAACTATCATACTAGTCAATCCGGACGCACTGCTAACGCCTGTTGTGTACCGACAAATTTTGCAGCTCAACATGAGCTCTGCAAAATGGTGCTCAACAAAAACTCAGCCGCACCGACGACGGAACTGGCAAATCGGCAATTAGATTGGTTTCACGATTGGCTCCGCAAAATGGTGACTTTATAAACAATAAGAACAAATCACTGTAGAAACCGGGTAGTGTTTATGTTGTGCGGACATTTTGTGCCCATGCTTCTTATTCAAGCGTAATATTGCTGCCATGTTTCATAAGCTAGTTTCAAGTGCCTCATATTAGTGTTAAGCAGACACTAAGCTATTAACCTTTTACCCCACGAGCATATTGCGAAAAATGGCCGTTCTCATTGAAAAGCCACCTGTAACAAGTTCAAACTGCTATAAAACTATGAAAAATGATTTAATACTGATGAAACTTGGCACAAATGATGACTAGACCATAGCCTCTGTAACAAAATAACAACAAAAATCAATCCACTGTACTGACTAACGCTAATGCCATGCGGACATAATTTGAAGCTACCGACATGTGCCTTCTATTTCACTTTTGCAATGTATAATTCGGAATAATCTCGGACTAACGAAAAGGTCACGCCGAGCATCAGAAAAATGTATTTTTTACGAATATTTACAGAATATTTATTTAATTAAATTTGGTGGTCCATTTTCTTGGGAAAGAGTAGTGTGCCCTAAATTGCCGTACAAAAAGTCAAAGGCAATGCTCTGACGGATCCTCAACGAATTCAGAGATATAGGTTGGTCGCTGCGAAATCCAGAAACAAAATGGTATTCATTTAGTATTCATTTAAAATTACGTAAAACCCTTTTATAATAGCATACGCAATAACAGTGTTGGAAAAACGCCTATGTCATACGTATATGTCTATGACTAGCGCCATATGATTTGGAGAGTCATAAGCAATAGCTAATCCGCAATGAAATTGGATGAATGGATAGATTACGGTGCATTCCAAAAAGTAGTGCTTTTAACAAAAGTTCGTAAAGTGTATTTGCAGACACAAGTCACTGCGCCGGCAAATGCCCATTTCATGCTAGTACAATGTTTCTTAAAGAAGCATTGTCGTTAAATTATAAGAGGTCCCTTCAAGAAATTGCACCAAGGTCACTTCGGCTCAGCAAAAGTCCTTATTACACACATTCGTACAGATTATATACAAAAAGAATAACGTAAAGGTTGCCTGTAATTACCAGTACCGTCCATCAACCGAGCCTGCAACATTTTCAATTTTGCCATGTTGAACTTTCTTTAGGAATTCTGTTTGTGTCTATTTTATTCTAAATGAGCACTTGCTGTACAAAACTTTTCAAAGAACATTTCTCACTGACGGATGAAATAAGGTTTTGATGCTACAAGTTTTAGACTTTATTTATTATTTCAAACCAAATGTACCAAAACACAAGGCAAAACACTAAAAGGCAAGAAAAACAGAGAAGCAATACACAACTTTACAAAATACATTGTATATACATGTAACAGCATTTATAAAGAGGTATAAGTTAAAAATAATTGAGAAACATTTGTTTATATTTCCTGAAAGACCCACAAGCAAGTAATTTATGCGATAAATATAATCAAAATAGGCAATACTAGCCTAACTATTCAGAAAATGTCATGAAGGGTAGGACAATAATGAAAAAAAAACATTGTGTTACACATACTACTAAGAAATAACATCACTGAAATAAATTTCTACTAGATAAAGAATGGGATATCTTCACAAGTACAAACATGATGCTATTTGTAAATAATATATAAATATGTGTAGGCTTTTTTTATTGACTTATGCTAACTTTCATATGACAATCACATCTAAATTTTAAAAATCCATACACAAATGCATTTTACTCCTGGCTTATTGAAGCTGCAGGTTAGAATAAAACTCCCATAATAAACAGTATTCTTTCTATAGTGGCTATGTCAAAATTGTGCGCATGTGAATTCAAGTTCGAATTTTTTGTGAACAAATTATCCTGTCATTGGCCGTATTTATGATACAGATACAGAAACACTCTCTGATTATGCAAAACTTCACATGTAAATGAACACCAAAATGATTGTTAAATTCTTTTCATCTCACAGATCATTCGAAGCCCGTCATTGCAAGGATAACTGATCCATTGTAGATTTTGTAATAAAAAGAAAGCCAAGCAGTTTTTGGAGGGATCTTGAGAAGGTTCGTCTGGTGCCCAGTTATCAAAGGTAATCACATTGGACGAATCGTATGCTGTCCAAACATCGGAAGTATTTGTATAGGCGGTAAAATAGGCCCAGTCCCCAACTGAAAAAAATATAAATGTACTTCAATGTTATTTTTTTATCGTCTAACGTATTGTTTTTACCGCCAAAAACTATAAATAGCTTTAAAATATTTCGGAAATTTGGTTCTATTTATTTATCCTTAACTGACTGACAAAATAATACAAATATTACACTAACAAGTACTAATGGTTGTTGTTTAACATACATATTACACTAGTGTCACATAATAAAGAGGCCAAGCGGGACATCAAAGGAAAATAGGGGAGGGTATAAGGGCATACCACAGATAGACGTTATTATAAAAAAAATCAAATTAGGGAATTCTATTAGATTACATGTTCTACACGATGTAACAACAAGACGAATAAAATGTTTTCACTTTCAATATGTGATACATTAAACAAAATATAGACAAAACAACAGTTTTTTTACCATCAAAATATGTTGAAAAGGGACCCATTTAATGCAACACAACACAATAAAAACGAGAAGGCTACCGGCTTACTCTAATTGGAGAAAGTGGTTATATACAATGGTTAATACCAGCCACTGTCCACGTCCCTCCTAGTACCGGTTACCTCCTAGTACCGGCTTGGGAATATAATTCATCGTTATGAATAGCAAATGGTACGCGCTCATTTTGTGACTGACACATTTCTTTAAACAAACAGTAGATTATGTGTACATACTTTCAAATTCATTGAACTTCATGAAACCTTTAAAACAAAACCTAGTTTTGGTTTATGGCCTTATATGCTTATATAATTATACATACATGGATATGTCATTGAAAATAGATACTCCTTTATGTAATTGTTTTCTGTTTCATCCTGTATTTTTACTGCGTCTGCATTTAATAGTTGACATTTTTCCTGAAATTCGAGACAATAAATGTATGTCAAACAAAGTACATATTCCCTTTACTATTCCTAGTAAATGAGAAAAAGGAGAAAAAAGGGGAATTACGAAATGCCTAAATATAGCCCCACACAGTAAGATTGAAAATTTTGTGGGTTTGATTTGATTGCGTTTGTTCATGGACGGTAGTGATAATTGCAAGCTACCGTCAACGCCACCTAGCACCGGCTACTAACATTTTATTTGTAATTTTGTTGTTGTCTTTTCTTGATTTCTTGATTAAGTAAGTATTATTTTTACTTGGAAACTTCATGTATGTCCTTTGCTTCAAAGACATTTAAAAGGATTCATATTCAATTTATCACTTAAAGGAAAAAGGAGAGTCTTAGATATTTGTTCCTTTGTGCTCGAGTATGTTACATGTTTTGCGTTTATTTTAGGTAACACAATTTTCAATTCATGACATAGTTCCCTTTCATCAATAAAAGCGGTGTAATTGAGCTGTCCGTCTGCCCTGGAACTATGTAATGTACATGTTCATTAATATCTTATAATACATTGTTTACACTGCTTTTTTTACAACAATTTATTGACTTAGTGTCAGATGAGCGTTAGTTGTTTTAGATTCTTCTTTATAATATTAACGTTGTTTTATTTGGAAATACTAATAATTATGAAATTGACCAGACCCTAAAACTATATATCCTTAAGTCAGAATAAAAAAAGTTGTTATTGATTTGAGTTGGACTACTTTTTAATCCCGCATTTTTTTGACAAGCGTTTTGTTTTAAATCACATGAAAGGGAATTCATTTACGGAGGGAACTTTATGGGTTTTAATTGCTCAGTCAGCGGCTGAATTATCTTTATTTTCGTTATAAGTATCAAAATGTCGCATAATTTGTTTGACTTTATGTATTATTTATATGAGAAAATATAGAAAAAATCTGAGACACAGTACCCTAGATAATGATGTATAAGTTTCACAAGTATAATGACAAGAAAAAAATATATTAGAAAATGACTTTGTTAAAACGATTTAAAATTATACCACTTTTGTTCATAATAATATATTTTCAAAGGCATATTTGAAAAAAGGAAAGAAAAAAAGAGCTATTTTCTATCAAAATCAAAGACATTAATGCACAGAATTTTACATATATAATTTACTAAAATCAGTATGTTTAATTGACATTTATTGTAGTACCACGGACAGTTTCTGTTGTCGCTTTAAATAGTTATGTGCATGGTAAAGGGTTCAACTTACAATGCCTTTTTGAAAAATCAACGCTTCTGTGGTCAGAAAGTAACAGTAACCGGCAAAGCCGGCCCATCCGGCAGGACAACCTATGTTTCTATATAGTTCCAGGTAGTAAATCAGTGGTAATACACTCTGTATTTCGTAATATTTGGTTCCATCCATCTGTTCTGTAACGCCAAATAGATTCGCATTATCATACCGTACTCCGCATCCCGTGCAATCACCAGTTTCTTGCACGTGAAAAACGCTGACGCAATCCGCGTGGTTCATACATTCAATAAAACAGTCCAACTTACTGCGTGGTAATGTTTTCTTATTAAATGAAATGTCAGCGTAAATGCAAATTTTCCCATCAAAGGACTCATTTGAACCAAAGTAGTTCCATACACAAGGTTAGCTTTTAAAAAAGCTAGTAGCGACTCGCTTCGTAATTTTTTTCAAGGGGTGTGTTTAAATGTAAAAATGACAGTTCTGTTAGCTGAAGAGACTTCAGCGAACATCAAAAT